GCCCTTGTAGTATTTCACACTCAAGTTGCAGTGCTCTGTGAACTATGATAATGGTCCGTGTGCAAGGTTGTCACATTATTGTGCATTTTGACGTAGCTGGAAATGTTATGTTGGTCATCTTAAACCCATGTTGAGTAAGCTTGTGGAAAATCGAGGCTGCATGATCAATAACCATAAGCTAGGTGTACACATGTGCTTTGTAGAAAATGTTGCCTCAAAACTACGAGAGTGTGTTTTATGCAGCTAATACAGTAGAACTTAATCGATATGTTCCCACTTAATGTGACTTCCCAGCTTCTACACTTTCCCGCATCGTTTGTTCATTCTCCCATTTTTTTTAATGCATCAATGAGGTACATTTTCTTGACAAATGCCTCTAGTATATTAAAGTAAAACTTTGTCATTATGGCAGAACAGGCCAAACTTGTTGAACTGTGTGCAATAACCAGCACTTGACATCATGTACCATTATGCCTGATTACCCACAAATATCATCAGCATTAACTAATTGAATAGATTGCTGGCAATAAGTCGTAAGTGGAGGTGCAATATTGTAATCACTGTCGTAGCCTCAGAATACATTCTTCAATTTCTCAACGCATATTTAACATGTGCACTTGAACAAGCAGAGTCCTAGCTCAGAACAGATGTTCTAAGCTGTGACATAATTTGTTTGGTCACTATTTATGAACTGCCTTCATACCATTTGTGTTGTTTGCTTTGCTTACAGAGGCACATGAAAGCTTCAGAAGGTGACCAGCAGAGCAGTATGTGTGGCATATTACCTGGGGCTTCAGCAGGACATCACTTGCGAAAGAAGTCTGAATGTACTATATAGTGGGCAACCAGATTACCTGCTCAAGAAAGGCTAACAAAATGAAAGTGCTCGAGAAGATTTTTAACACAAATGCTATGAAAAGACTGAGCTTATCTGCACCTTTGCACTATTACTCACCATCAGTGATCTAATTGCGATGTTTTGTGACTCACTCAACCTTGCAAGGCTTTGTTCAAACCAAAAACTGTTGTCCTTGAACCGCATTTTTTTTTTATTTAAAAGATACATGTATAATATCACATAGGTTCGTGTTTGCTGGAATAATGTTTCAAAGGTATAAAAATTTTTAGATGTGTAAAAAAAATTTAGTTGCTAGGAATTCTACTACTTCTTTCGATAAGCACATCAACTTCTCTGTTGTACTTTATGGACACAGCTCATTCTCTCACCGTTTTTCACAGAAAGCAGCTATTGTCGCAGGTGTTCACAAACTATATAGACTAGCCAGAACCTCTAATTGAGACCAAATGGCTTTCCACTTTTGTTCTTGCAAAGTAACTCAGAATATGATCGCTGTACAAGGGTTTTCGGATGGAACGAAACCTTCTGTGGGCAGCCATTTACCATATGTGAGCAAACAGTCATTTAACAGATGCTCTGCACAAGTAACAAACACAGATACGTTGCCAGTGATTGTAACTTTTGCAGCAACAGGATGGCCAAAAAAATGCAGCCAGCTCCTCACAGATACATCGTGCACATAGTATCAGTCTTTGTCTGCAAGGCTGGGATCTCTTTCATGACATTTGTGTTTCAGAACGTCCTACAGGCAGTGGTGTTTTTTTTTGTGTGTGTGTGGGCCATGCAACATTAGAAAAAGAGTTTCTTGCTCCTGCTATCTTCATTGTTGAAATTATGAGGCCATGTGCTGTCTGCCACTGTACTATTGTACTATTTTTCATTACTGCTGCGTAAAGAAGAATACCAACTGCAACATTAAGGTTGTTGAATCTGTCTTTTCCCTTTCCTTTTTTTTTTTTTTTTTCACGAAGAAACGTATGCCATGCTATATGCATACTCTGCCTGATGGATAGGCACGCAGCATTCTGAATGAGACTGCTTTTTTTTTTGCTCGTATAATTTGTCATATGAAAGTGTTTTTCCTATGCGACCTTGTGTACTGGGCATGCCTTTCCTGTATCTTTATTCGTAACTGTTTCTATATTACAATAACCTAAATTGAAGCTGCAGTGATTTTATGCTTCTTTTAAAACGAGAACATGAAAGTTTGTCATAAAATCCCGAGATGTGAAATAGGCACTACTTTTTACAACCCCCCCATTTTCACTGCTTCATTCGCTGTTTTTGTTTGCCCGACAAGGGACAATAAAAACAGAAAATGGGTGCGTGTTCATTAGAAGCACGAGGGCGCATTTTTTATTCTTGGCGGCTGTTCTGCCTTCCTCCTAAATTTTCATCAATAACCCAGCAATCGCCTCTCCTCCAAATTTTTGTTAAATTATCCTTCACTTTGGTTGGTTTGCTTGCTCTGGATTTTATGGTAGTTTGACCTGAAGAGAGGATCTGCAATGTATTGTTGCACAACACTCTGAAGCTTGTATTAGTGATATCATTACCTGTGTGTAGGTGTCTTGCATGTATGCCCTTTCACCCCATGCATCCTTAAAAAATTAGTCAGTCTTGTGTTGTTCTAATGGAGACTATAAAAAAACCACAGCTAAGTGGTGACATCACCTTGCAAATGAAATGGGGTGCACTGAATTCATTGCCATAGCAACTATAGCACTGTACTTCAAGATCCCATTCTGCATTACCCAAGTGAATGTAACTTCTCAGTTTTTTGTGCATTTATTAATTCAACGTCTCATCACACACACAGAAAAACTAATCTCCCTCATTTTGAAGTATATCTTTCATAGTGTCCTTGCTAGATACTGCAGGCTATGAAGTTCAACTATTTATTTATTTATTTATGATACCTTCAGGGCCAAAGGCATTACAGAGGGGAGTGGTGTGAGAGCAAGGAACAACAGAAAAAAAAAAAGCACAAAGATGTTAAGATGCAACATACAATAACATCATTAACACAGTGTAATTAAAAATTATTAAAATAACTCCTGATTATACTATGTTAGCTAGAACATTTCGAAAACTGTTGGACGTCATTAATGGATGCAATGTCAAAAGGAAGGCGATTCCAGTCGCGACTTGTCCGGGGCAAGAAGAAATGAAAGCAATGCATTGTTTTGCACATATCAATTCCAACTTTGGGCGCATGGTCAACACGACTTGATTGATAGTGTGGCCTAGATATAAGCTCGCCACGCAGCACGGGGTGGTGATACAGCTTATTAAATATAGTTAGTCGCGAAATTTGACACCTAATGGAGAGAGATGGGAGGGCTAAATCAGATTTCATTCTAGTAATGCTTGTGGTTCGATGGTAATTGCCTAGCACAAATCTAACAGAATTATTTTGAACAACTTCTAGTGCAATTATTTTTCCGTGACATGGGTCCCATACTGAGCATGCATATTCCAGTTTGGAATGAACTAATGTTTTGTAGAGCAATAATTTCAGTGATGAGGGAGCTGTAAAAAAATTGCAGTGCAAGTAACCCAACATGCAGTTAGCTTGGTTAACAATATGCTCAATATGAAAGTTCCAGGTTAAGTTTGTGGTAATGTGAATGCCAAGGTATTTGTAGGAAGCAACTGATTCTAATTGGACAATGTTAAGAGAATATTGTGATGGGTTGGTTTTAGTACGAGAAACACGCATTGTCTTGCATTTGTTAGTGTTGAGTTCCATTAGCCAAGTTTTCGACCAATTAACGACAGAGTTCAAATCAGACTGCAAAGTGGTAGTGTCGTTATCAGAGGTTATTTCACGGAAAATAACACAGTCATCGGCAAACAAAAGGACATTAGATTTCAACAAAGAAGGCAAGTCATTAATATAAATAAGAAACAAGAGGGGCCCAAGGACGAATCCCTGCGGCACACCTGAATAAACAGGGCTAAATGAAGAGCAAAATTGATTAGCGACAGCAAACTGCGAACGGTCAGTCAAAAAATATTCAATCAAAGTCAACAAACTTTTGTCAATGCTTAATTGATTTAGTTTGTGAAGTAGTAGCCCGTGTGGAACCTTATCGAATGCCTTTGAAAAATCTAAAAATATGCAGTCAGCATGCGAAGACCTATCTAAAATTTGATGTAATTTGTGAGTAAAGTAAATTAGTTGGGTTTCACAGGAGTACGACATGCAAAAACCATGTTAAGCTGCTGCGAAAAAAGAGTTGGATTCTAGATAGTTAACCAAATAGCTGTAGATGACATGTTCTAGTATTTTGCAGCAGTTACTGGTTAGAGCAACGGGGCGATAATTACATGGAATATTTTTATTGCCGGACTTAAAAACTGGAATCACCTTTCCTATTTTCCATTTCTTAGGAAGCGTACCCGTGGCCAATGATTGCTGAAATATTTTTGTTAATATGATAGAACAATAAACACCAGTGTTTTTCAAAAATTTTGTGCTTAGGTCATCAAAGCCAGGAGATGAGGAATTATTTAGGTGAGTAATAAGTTTAAAGATACTGGAAACATCAATTTGTACTGAAGGCATAGCTGCGCAAGTGAGGGCTTGAGTTGGAGGCTTCGCAACGGTAGACGCCACAGAAAAGTTTTTTACGAATGTATCGCTGAGAAGCATAGCACAAAGATTGCGGTTGACATCATTGCTGTTGACATCATCAGATTGCTATTGACATCATGTCAAATACACTGAGAAAAAAAAAGCACTGATTGATGCAAAAAGCTGCCAGGATGATCTTTGAATAATCGTAGTTTAAGACTTTTCTCTTTATGTGATTCTTTTTAGCAGGAATATGTGATTGCATTAATCATCCCCTTTGAATGGTAATATGGTTGAATGTTTTATCTCACATTATGTGGTCAATCAGTCATTGTTTTGTCTTTGATTTCTTAATTTTGCATGTTCTGTGCACAGTTATTTCAACACAGGCCTTATAATCAAGGAGAACAGGATATCAAAAAAGCGTTAGCCAGCTTCACGCTGTGAAAGCTGCCCCTCTTTGTCAGGCTATTGCCTTTCTGTGTTTTTTTTTTTGCAAGACTATCTAAATATTTCTATATCTTGCAAGTCTTTTCTAAGTATTTGTGTTGTTTCATTGCTCTTTACATAACACTTAAAATGGACAACAATGTGTTCATTCATGGTCACGCCGGAATGCTGCAATAGTGTTCCAGTGCAGCTATGGCCCAATTCAATGGCCTACTTTCCCAAAACGTGTATTGCTATTATAGCTTCACTTGAACACAAGCAGCATCGCAAATGCTGCTGCTGTGCATGGCAAGCCCCTGTCACGAGAATGGACAGCGAACTGTCAACAAAGAACAGTTTCGCTTCTAAAAAATGCGGACAGGTTGCGCTAGTGGTGGAGGGTGGGACTAACAGTGGAGCTTGTGGCCATCCTAGATTAGTAGCAAGGTATTAATTAGCATAGTGTTAATAAGCAGTGATCTTATGCAGCAGTCATAACTAGAAATACACTAAATGACAATATTAATTAACTTGGTAATACCATGATCTTACTAGGCGAGTTCATAACTAGCTGGGTTCTCTCTTTGTTGCTATGTTTTCCTTTCTCTTTCTTTTTCTCCTTTAACTATTATCTGTCCTGTGCTTCTCTTTTTTTTCCCTCACAAAGCACACCCATTGAAGATATGCTTACATTGCCATCGTGCCTACCTCAATGCATGCACTGGCCACAGGCTTTATTATCTGCCACATTACTAGGCGGTATACAGAAATTGTACTATAACTATTCTCACTTCTTAAATGTATATCATCAAAAGCAAGCTGTCTTTATTAATAGTTCATCCAAAGATCAAAAACTGGGCAGCAAAAGTGTGCTCGGGCTGACTTATTCTAACGCATGGGCTTAGCACAGCCTATAGTTTTCTGGTAGTGCAAAAAGTTGAAGCGGAAAGATGAAACATCTCCGCTAATAAAAAGTTTTTCTCTCATTCTTGCAGATCATTCGGACCAGGGACTTATAGCCCTTGTTAAGGAAGAGCCGATTGATGTTGTCGTTCACAACGAGTCTGGCACATTTGTCGAGAGCGGAAGCTGCCAAGTGATGAGCAGTTGCCAGGACGTCGTCGCTGAGCAGCCACCGAGAGAAGTCCCCGAGCAGCCAGCGAGAGCAGCCGACGATATACGCATAGTCGGAAGTCTCCGTCGGTGCGAATGCAAGCTCTGTCACTTGGTCTTCAACACTGATCAACGCCTGCTCCAGCACTCCGTGGTACATGCTCGAGAGTGGAAGTTCTGGTGCAGGCAGTGTGGTGCCAGCTTTCCACAAAGTGAGGCCCTCGAGGAGCACGAAAGGACGCACATAGACAAGCAGCAGCTCCGTTGTCTCATCTGCTACAGGCGCTTCGGTGAAACAACCCGACTTCACAAACACTTGTGGCATCATGTGAAGCAGCAGCAGACACACTACTGCCACCTATGCTCCATGACGTAAGTTGTTTCGGGTGAATTCCTCTTTTTGTTTTATGTAAACAGCTGTGACAAAGTACACATTGCAGTTTGGCTAAACGACAACAAACTTGTTTTTAACAAACTCTTCTTTTCTTTTGTTAAGTGTTCTCTTGAAATAACTGCTTCTGATGAATTAGGCTGTTGATTGCAATCACCAAAGCTTTTTAACGTTAATGTAGTGGTGCGCAAGACTCAATTTCTGGGGAGGGGGCTTCGATCATGCACTATTTATGTATATTTCTATATATTGTACACATAGAGACTAGCTACATCTGGTGAATATTAACCCCCCCTAATTCAACAATTTGGCATCACCAGTGCTGTATACATAAATGAGAATACGTGAATGGGTGTCAGTGGCCTCGCCACGAGTTTTATATCCCCTCCCCTGAATTTTTACCTAATGTATGCACGCACTCATGAACGTAAAATAAGGCTAGACTCCTCCCCTTCACCAAATTTACACAGGTTTACATTCGTAATGGTTTTGTATTTCGCCTCCTTTAAAATGCGATTATTATATATACGGCAAGAAATCAAACCAGTACACTCGTGCTGTGCAGGACATCATAGCCCATCATACAGAGCACTTTATGGCTCAAGTTTTTAGTGCCTAATGAATGAAAAACTTCAAAGTGAGGTGGTTGAGCTGGATGTACCATTCGATTTAATGATGCAGAAATACTAGCAAAACAAAGGTACAAAAATATGTCAGTTCATTGAACAGACAGCGTTTATCAGTTAGACAAATACTAACAGTGTTTTCAATGCACAGTTATCTTGATGTGTACGAAATTCGAGTGACATAACTTTGAAGAAAGCTGGGCTAATGAACACAAGACATGGGCTGTCCATTGTTTCACTCGTTCCTGCAAAAGTGGCTCAAAGGGGCGCAGCAACTCTTTCGTGTTATGATTCAGTGACTTCAGTATCTGAGTTTATGACCTCACAAATCTGCTAGAAATTTTAGAATTCGTAGTAGTAGTATATAAGTTATGCTGCCCCAGTGTTTTAAGGCCTAAACAGGAGGTTTAAGTCCTCCCTTTTCCTTACCTTGTGGACAAATCCTGTATATGTGTTTTGCTCAAAATGAGTAACAAATAAAAGTTAATATTTTAAAGAGTTACAGGAATATTTCTGAGGTGCTGTATGTGCTTTCTTTTTTACCCTTTATCAGAGAAAGTGCGTGAAAGACATGGACGACGAATAGAGAAAGAACACCAGAAGCACATACTAGCAGCTTCCCTCATAACGAAATACCAACACGCCCAACAGTCCATTCATCTTTCCTTTCATCCCAGTCAGCATGCTAAGAGCTACAAGGGAAGGGGTGAAAAGGGAGCAAGAAGCTGCATTGTTAATTCCCTACTGCGCTCCCATGCTTCGAGATTTGGCTCGAATGTTCTAAGGAACCTTTACTGCCAATCGACAGCATTTTCTGACCATGTTCAAGAAGTGTTGCAGGGCCCTTTCAAGGATCAGCGTCAGGATTGTTGTGGTTAATACAATACACACACTTTACTTCAAAGTTTTTCTTTTTAATATTAAAAGGGCAATAATACACCTTTGAACTAACTACGAAATGGATCCTCTAAAAGAGCTTATTGCCTCATGGATTCAACGCCGCAAAAATGTTAAGAATCCGTCCAGTACGAGCGAAGCTACGAAGATTTGTCGCACGCTGCAAAGGCATTCTCTCTTCTCTCGTCCCAACGAAAGCGCTGGAAGCTAAGCAGGGAAAGATGGCATAGGCAAAGAAAATACGTCACGTGCACCTTGTCACCTTGAGCACTTTTTTTATTATTTATTTATTTATTTACAGATACTGCAATCACCTTTGGTGATTTTAGCAGGGTGGTACATGAAGTTAGTCATGAACAAATGGCAAGTACAATGACATATAATATATACAGGTTATACAATGTCTATAGGGCAAATACACACTTCAACTGGCAATATCATACAATAAAAAATAGAAGACTGCAATTATACAAGCATGTACAGTGGTATGTAATACGATTCAACAATTCAACTGGTTAGTGCACTTTCTAATTTCGAGGAAAACAATGCCAATGAGGGTGCTGAAACAATTGCATTAGTTAGTTTGTTCCACTCGACTATGGTGCGAGGAAAAAATGAATACTTAAAGCAATTATTGTGTGTGGGAAAGGGGGTTATGGTGAGGTCATGTCTCTGCCTGGTGGAGTAGCCAGAAGAAAAAGAAAAAATATCGGCTATGTCTACTTGATATTGGCCGTTAATTAGTTGGTACAGAAACTTAAGCCTTAAGTTACGGTATCTTAATGATAAAGGTGAAAGTTGAGCTCTGCTTAATAGGTCAGTAACGGAAGTCCTCGAAAAATTATTGTAGACAAAACGAACTGCTCTTTTTTGCACTTTTTCTAATTTGTTAATGTTAGTCTTAGTAAAAGGATCCCATATAATAGCGGCGTAATCTAATATTGGTAAAACAATTGATTTGTACGCTAAAAGGCGGACAGAAGGAGTGGATAGTTTGAGAGCACGACATAGAAAAAACAGTTTGTAAGTTGCATTGGCCGTTACATGTGTAATGTGTTTGTTCCAGCAGAGATCATTCGATATGAGAAGCCCCAAGTACTTATAATTAGTGACTTCAGTCAAAAAAGTGTTGTTAGCATTGTATCTGAAATGCAAAGGTTTTTTCTTGTGTGTAATTCGCATAAAAACAGTTTTATCAAAGTTAATGACCATCTGCCATTCCTCGCACCAGGAGGCTACTTTTTGAAATGCCTGATTTAACCGAAGTTGGTCGGATGTGCTATGAACCTCAGAGTACAAAACACAGTCATCTGCGTAAAGTTTCACTTTAACAGGAATTTGTTCTACAATATCATTAATGAACAAAAGAAACAGTAGAGGCCCTAGAACTGAGCCCTGGGGAACGCCAGAACCAACCATTACATATTTTGAGTTGCAACCGCGAAAAGAAACAAATTGTTGTCGTTTAGTTAGGTAGAAAGAGAGCCAGCCCATTAACTTTTTGTTTTTAAGTATTTTCTCTAATTTAAAAAGTAATTTTTTGTGGGAAACCTTATCGAAGGCTTTGGCGAAATCCATAAAAATTGCATCTAATTGTTTGCCGTGGTTAATACTTTTCGCAAAGTCATGTACGGTTTCAACTAGCTGAGTGCAGGTTGAAAAACCTTTTCTAAATCCATGCTGACGTCTAGTTAAGAAATTGTGTTTGTTGAGAAACTCTACGATATGATTGTGTATTATATGTTCTAATATTTTGCAACATGTTGAGGTTAATGAAATTGGTCTATAGTTACCGACCTGGTTTTTGTTTCCCTTTTTGTGTAATGGTTTAATTCGGGCAGTTACCCAATCATGCGGTAGTTCACCATCGAGTAATGATTTACAGAACAGTACGTACAAATACTTTGATGTCCATTCTGCATACCTTTTTAAAAAGTCATTGGGTATGCAATCAGGACCAGGTGATTTTTTCGTGTCTAGTTTCAGTAACATGTTAAAGATACCCCTTTCCGAGATAACAACATCAGACATGGGAGGTAAGGAGACATCAAAAGTTGGCAAGGTACCATTGTCTTCAGTGTAAACCGATCTGAAGTGTTCATTAAAAAGGTTCGCGATTGATTCATGATCACTTATCTCTCTGCCATCGTCATCAAATATTTCGCATTCATTTGACTTAGGAGAAATTGTTCTCCAAAACTTCTCTGGCGATGAAGTAATGAAGCTAGGTAAGGACTCACCAAAGTAATGTTTTTTATCTGAAATAACCTTAAGTTTAATTTGAGATGTCAATTCTGCAATTCTTTCTTGACAACTGAAATCAGCGCCACAAGTTTTACTTTTCTTTTTTAATCGCTTTACCCTCCTTCTCAATTTCAATGTCTCCCTAGTTATCCACGGGTTTTTGGTTCTGGGCTTTTTACACGTGGTTGGGACATAACGCTCAATGCTTTTGCTTACAATGCCCGTAAACTTAATCCAAAGATCATTTACACTATCATCACTATCGGCAAAATCATCAAAATGAAAAGAAAGGATATCGAGTATCGACTCATCATCGGCTTTACGAAAGTTATAAAAAGTAGTCACCTTGGGTTTTTCACAGACACAAAAATTTGACACGGTTAGCACTACAGCAAGGTGATCGGAAATACCGGGAACAATGTCACAAACGCAATCATGTGTTATATTTCCAGAAACAAAGACAAGGTCTAGAATTGATTTCGAGCTGCCTTGAATCCTTGTGTAACTTTCAACTACCTGTGATAAATCATGTTGAAAAGCAATGTCTATCATGGTATCTGCGGAAGCATCGCAGTGACTAATGTGTGTCATTGTTGGCCAATCAACACCTGGCAGATTAAAGTCACCTGCCAAGATTATTCGGTCACCCGGCTTTACATAATTTTCCATATATTTTTTTAGATCATCGATAATATTGACTGAAGAACCAGGGGATCTGTATAAAGCACCCAATACATATCTAGTGTTACCATGATTGACCTTACAAAAGATACATTCGGCATTAGGCACATCTGGCATTTTAATTAATTTTAACCCCTTTTTAAACAGAATACATACACCTCCTCCTTTCGAGCTGCGATCCTTTCTATAAGCACTGAAACCCGGTGGAAACACTTCGCTGTCATAGATCGAATCTGTTAACCATGTTTCAGTTAGGAAAGCTATGTCAGGATTCTGTGAGAGCAGAACCCCTTCTAACTCAACAGCCTTATTTACAACACTTCGGCAATTAATATTCAGAATTTTAAGCGAGAATTTTAAGTGGGATGCTTTGTCAGTTTGTAATTTTGTTCTTAATGCAGTAACGGGATTTTTTAATGTCGTCCCACCCATACGTTACCCCATCAAGAATTAGTTTGTCGTACGAGAGCTTGACTTTCGCGCCTTTGGCCCTTTCGGTAGTTGATGTTTGCCATAATTGCCTCCTGATATCTCTAACTCGCCTTGAAAAGTCTTCAGATATGGATAGGTCACTGTTCTTTAGTTTATAGGCTGCCTTCAGGATAGACACCTTTTCGCGATGATCCAGGAATTTTATTATAACCGGTCGTACTTTGTTCTCAGCCTTTTGACCTAGTCTGTGGATTCTCTCAATACCATTGACTGATACGCCAAGCTTGAGTTGGAAAACTTCGTCACTTACTGCCTTTGTGAGTGTTTCGGTAGTCTCGGTGCGTAACTCAGTTAGACCGTATATTATCAGGTTATTCCTGCGTCCTCTGTTTTCCAGCTCATCTATTTTTGCTTCAAGTGTTGTAAGCTGTTTTGACAATTTCACATTATTTGCCTCAAGTTTTTTCTTTGAATATGCGGCTTTTCCAGTGTGATCGCGTGCGTACATGTAGACAAGTCGTGGCCTCTCGCAGCAATCCCTGTAACGAGCGAGCGCGGCATGTTCAAATCAGTCGATGGCTGATATATGGCCTTCTAAGAGTGATTTTTGAGCATCTTCAGTCATTTGTCGAGATAAGAGAAACTAATTTTTAGCTGACTTTAATAACTTATTGCGAATTCCAGGATGCATGCTGCGCTATAATATTTGACTCGCATGTTCTTGGAGCCTTCACTACCCATCAGTAGTGTTTTCTGAACATGCTCAAAAAGTGCTGCAGGGCCCCTTTATGCTGCACGTTTTGCTTGTGCATCATGCTCAGAACAAACGCCCAGAGCTTCAAGTGTACTATGTGTCTCAATATTTGCTCAGTACCATCAATAATGATTACTATATATGAATTCACTGTAGCAATAGTCACTACAAGTAGCATGGGTGCCAGAAGAGGGGAGCAAAAGGGGCACTTCTCCCACCAAAAAAATCACCACTGCCCCCACCACTTCCAAGCTACGATAGCAGTCACCCACAACCACGATTCTACATAGGTTTTCACCCCCTCAAGACTAACTCCAGCTGGCGGTCATGCACAATAACCGAAGGGCTCTATGAACCTTTTTTTTTTTTTGTTTTTCAAGAAGCTCTTCGTATTTTACTCGTCTTCACCGCAAAAAAAACTCGGTGTTTTGAAACGCAAAAAAAAAACTCGGTCTTTTGAAACGCCGCCTCAGATGTGCAAACTTGAAAACTAAACTTCACGCATATCAAGCTCTGATCAGGCCTTCACTAGAGTATGCGTCAACCATCTGGCATCCACACACGGCAATGTTATCTGATATGCTAGAATCGGTACAAAATAAAGCAGCTCGGTTTATCACCTCCTGTCATTCTCGCCACCAAAGGGTAACATGTCTTAAGCGTTCTCTGAACTTTCCATTGCTTGCCACGCGCAGAAAGTTGTCCCGCCTATGTTTTTTCCATAGTTTATATCATAGTGACTCGTCATTTTCCCGATCATTCATTCACCCGGCTCCCTACGTTTCTGATCGCGTTGGTCATGCACATAAGGTCAATCCAATATATTCACGCACTAAGAGATACCAATTTTCACCTCTGCTGTTATCCATTAACGAGTGGAACGCGCTGCCCTCAAACATAGTCGCTATTACAGAACCCTCCCTTTTCTAGTCTGCAGTACTAACTTACTTAGAAGTTGACAATAATTTGTAACCACCATTGACATTTAATGTGTAACGCATGCTTAGAGAATTTTTATTGCTATTTCTTGAAATATGTTTCATGTTATGGTGAGCTGCTTACTGTGTTTTTGCTTATTGTGTTATTAGTAATGTTGCTTGGGCTATCGGTCAGTTTGATTACTAGTATTACTCCCTGACATGTTGTTTTACTGATGCTATAGTAACCTCTTGTATGTATCCCCCCTTATGTAATGCCCTCTGGGCTCTTAAGGTATTTAAATAAATAAAATAAATAAATAAGTTTCAATTGCTCGTCGTATCTTGTGTCGATTCCCAGGTTTCCCTTGCGGGCGCAGCTATCGAGGCACCTACGCATCCACGAAAGGAGCGCGCACTTTCGCTGCGACGAGTGCAATGCCGCTTTCACCTTCGAGGTGGAGCTGACGAGACATCGGGCTACACATGAGAAAGGACGGCATTTCCAGTGTCTCGAGTGCCCAAAGTCCTTCGTATACAAGTGCCACCTCCAAGATCACCTGGTACCGCACACAGTTGAGCGGCGGTTCAGCTGCAGCCTTTGCACGAAGAGGTTCTGGCGCAAGGGCGAATTAGCCAGGCACATGCCAAAGTGCCCGAACAAAACGAATGCCCAGCCCCCACATTCAGAGGCTTAGTCCCCTGCGTATATTAGTGGACTTCTGAGCATTCGTTTGCGTCTGCCAGATATGTAATCTGTGTAAATTACCCTGATGGAAATAAACTGATTGCATTATTTTTTAATCGCATGCAAGGGCAGGATGATAGTCTGTGAGATAGCCGAGGCATAATAAATTGTAGGCGCCTCATCTCTTATCGTGTCCCTCATTTGAGTGCACGAGCACATCTGTGACACTACTACTGCATTCATAGAAGCTGTAAAAAGTTACCTACACACGTCTCTGTAATGTCTACAGGACTGGTGACCATGAAAGTGATTAATGAATCGATTAATCATGCTGAGTAGGAAAACTCCTGATAAGAAAGCACTCCAGCTATCGCAGCTCTCTTTCGAAAGATGCTGCCTCTCTGCTGTTGAGAGAAACTGTATACGGCTAGGTCATGGCAGATCGCGTCCTCGGACAAATGATGCATATAACAAAAATTTTCGGCAAACAGATTAACTTTATTAATCCAGTGTTTGTTTTTTTTGTCGAAGAACTGAACGTGGCGTAAAAGTAAATGCAAAAGTGTATGACGTGAACAGTATTCTTAAAGACACTAGCATGAGAAATTAACGTTTTGCCACTTGTGAAATTTGAAACGATGGGGTTTCTGAAGTTCTGCGGGTGCCTCAACAGGAATCACTTGTACTCAGATCCACTGAAATTTTTCTCAGTATGACTCGCTGAGAATCGGACTCGCCAAAGTATTACTCACCTTGACTCACGGCTCGATCCGAGTCTGAGTGAATCCACTCGTGAGTGAGTGTTAACCAATGGTGGGTATGTAATCATGCCATTTTTCATATTTCATGTGCTCTCTTTATTAGCTTAAACAGTGAGTATGCAACTCATATGTTGTCAAAAACAATGCAGTTATATGTAATTTGAAGATGCCTACATAAAGCCTCCTTGACATTTGATAACTCAGTGATTCTCTGGTTACAATAATTTTGTTGTAAGGTTGTACCGCAGCTTTTAATATGGACAAGCGAGATAAGAAGGACACGACACACGCTTAAAAACTGCACTACTAAACCTTACGGTAAAATGATTGAACACCAACTAGCCCAGTTATCAGTCTTATTGTCTGGTTACAAATTATAAATAACTATTTAAACCTCATTAACAAACAAATTTCAGTGGCTACTTCAGTGAACTGACAACAATATGTTCTAGATCTGCTTCACATAACGCCATTCCTTTTTTTTTCAAAATCGTGCTGCATGATAATTTAGACACCCTGCGTGTATGTATGTGTATAATTGTGGGGCGGCAAAGCAGGATGGCGTGTACAATTGTCCATAGATTTGTTTTTTTTTTCCCTGTTATAACTGAACTTTACATGCTGGGATATTGCTATCGTGAACATTAAGGGGCCCTGCAACACCTTCCAAATGATCGCCGTATGGCTTCATTACAGGATTTCGTTGCCTAGTGAATTGGCTGCAGCAAAAATTTTTATAATCTGCCAAGTACAAAAGGAGTGAAAGATTTCTCACACACAGTGATTGCTTTATCTATTCTGTCCTGCAAATGAGTGCGCGGGACGCTTAGCAGGGAAAGATGGCACGGGGGAAAGAAGTTACATTAGCCATGCGTCATAACCTTGAGCACTTTTTTTTTGCTTTTCTTTGAACGCCCAGCTTACTTTAAGTGTGATTGCAAGCATGCGACGGCCTTAATAGCTATGCAGCTCATGATGCGGTGGTTTTGGTATGTGGCACGGTCATTCGTAGAAAAAAGAATACTTTGTTGTCGACGTTAAAAAATTTACTGGATATTTCAAGCCATATGCAGCGCGATATAATGTCTGGCTTGTGTGTCCCCAGAAGCTTTGGCTACTGACTGGCAGTATTTTCTGACCACGCTAAAAACATGTCCACGCCAATTTTCGAAGCCGAGTTCACTCTCTCATACAGAGCTCCTGTGTACAGAGAAACCGTGAAGCTCATTGCATGCTACGTTATTTCGATTTCAAAGTCGATCTGTGTACGGCACACCTACCGACACCGACACATGCGGCTACAGCACTGATTCTGGTGACTTCATGCAGCAGTGTGGCTAGTTGCGATGATGTCAGTTAGCGAAAATTTTAAAATGGCTGCTTTTGTGTAAAAAAATGTTGAGAAGGGGCACTTGTGCATCATCAATGAATAACTGATCATGTTGCACAAAAAAAAATATGACATAGGACAAGGGAAGGAACGAAGTTTCATATTCTTGCACTACGTAATCGTTTATGCATTACCAACACGCCCAACTTCATACTCTAATTATCAATGGGGCCATGGTGTGCTGCGGCTATGGAAGCGTCACTATTTACTGCATGAGTGTCACGAGAGGCCCTTACCATGCTTTGATGTAACGGTACAGTAAGAGCTGAACACTAGCTTTCAAGAACTTACTGCGATCACTTTTAAGGGTGCAATCACACCTACGAGTACATTTTCTTGGCTTGGCGTTTTATTTGACGCAAGAAAACAACTGAAAATTTTCATGTCAGTACCCCTTTAAAAGAAAGACGCAAGACATTAGAGAAATGTAAATGAGGATACTTTATATAACAACTTTCTCTATGAGTTCACATGAAATGACCAATGCAGGAACTTCCACTGCTGTGCTTTCTAGCGTAGCCTTGTACGATTTATAACAGCGGTCATCTTTGTGTGTCAGAGGAGTCTGATTGCAAAGGCATTGACGAACACTGCTGCATCTCCTCCACAAGTGAGATATCGGCCAACTCTAAGTCTGTCTGGCATTCTGCAATGCAAATCAAGCACACAGCGAATTACGAGTTGCTTTCAGCGGCAAAAAATACAAAACGAATTCTTTACTGTGGCAGATTGTATACGACAGTGTACTAGTAGAGGGCAAATTCCAAGTTATTGTCAGCAAAAAAAGAAAAAAAAAAAAAGAGCACACGTACGTTTTACTGTAGTAGATCATATGCAACAGTGTACTAGAAAAGCGCAGTAGTCTTTCAGAAAACTTGCATGAAAGTGTGCTTCTAATAATAATTTACCGATGATTAAAATAATTCCTAACGTCAAGTTTGAGCCCAGCTGTATGCGCACATTTTAATTTTGTCAGTTCCTTGGCAATGCTGGCGACAAGCTTCAGCCTCAACGGTGTAAGCACTTTTGCTTCAGTGGTGCAGATTGCTAGTACAATGGTGTCATTTCGTATTCTTAAGCAACTCTCTGCTTTCCTTGTCATTGTTCTGCATTCTCTTCTAGCTCACTTTTATCATTTGTTGTGTTTGCTTTTTCGATGAGACTCGATGAGGTACAACAATGCGGGGTGCAAGAAGAGGCGTCGTAAGAGTCACGTTCTAAAAAATGTTTTTTTTTTGTCTGCTGTAATCGTGTGCAACCACAATGCAACACTACTTGCCACCCATCACATGCAGGCCCACAATTAATTGAAATTTGCATGCTGAACCAACAAAGCATTTGCCAAACAGCACAGGATTGTTGCCTTGTGTACAGCAGACGATGCAGTGGCACCTCAGTTCTGTCAGTTTGCCGTAAATGATGCACACACAACATTGTCAATAATTATGGGAAGCCACTTCGGAGAGCTGGCGCAATCTATAAAATTGATTTGTGAGGAATCTACGTACACACTCAATCCTCATTATAATGAACTCGCATCGGTTGCGAAAATACTTCATTATATCTAAAAATTCGTCATAGCCATAGAGATAAAGAGAGAATGAATAGAGGGAAAGGCAGGGAAATTAGCCAGAAATTGGGGCACCCGGCTTGCTACCCTGCACTAAGGGAAAGGAAGATGAGAAAGAAAGCAGAATAGCCATATATTACCACTGTACTTATGACAAAACTATTTTTCACTCACTTCGTTATAACCTAGAATTTGTTATATCCGGGTTCGTTATATTGAGGTTTGAGTGTATCTCTCCAGACTCTAATGCAGCATAAATGATGGTTAACACGCAATTTTATTTAAATCCATTGACTCCCAAAAATCACCGAAGTTGGCCTTTTGGCTTTGTTGTAAAAGCGAGAGCGTGGAAGTTTGGCCGTGCTTGTGAGACATCATCAAAAAGCCGTGCAGTGCCCAAGAAGGAGGACTGACAAAAATGACAGATGGACAAACTCTGATTCAGCTTGTCTTCACTCATCAGCACTGCACAGTTATTTCATTGTCTTACAAGTTCACTCAAAGCATTCGTTTATTCTGTTAATTTAGTTTGTGTTTATTTTTCAGTGGTGCACAGGTACTTCTTCAAGCTTGCAACAAAACCAACACTTCTATCAAGTGACATCAGCAGTCTTATTTTCAAAATGCCACATCACCCATGTAGCACAAACTCTTGTCATAAAGCAACGTCGGTAACATGAGCACAATGTTCACAAAACATCGCATCAAAATTTAGTACTGCTAGGGCACCTCTCTCACCATTGTCAGCTTGCAAGTAAAATGAAAGTTGTCTAGAATAAAACAAAACAATCTTTCCACCTTTCTCTGCTTTGCTAAACATGGCAGCTGCCTTACTGGCCACAATATTTCCACGATTAATGTGACATGCTTGAAGTGCCTAGTGACAACACAGAAAGCATGAATCGCACTCACCAGAATCTTTCACTGACTTCTTTATTCGGACCCGTGTGCATCTCCTAATGCGCCCAATATCCGCTTGAGTTGTTTTGAAAGACACAAGCACGGCGCATTGTGTTTGAACATCTTTCCTTTTCGCTGTGAATGGAAGACAGGCTTGACTGAAGTGACACTATTTTTTTACGTTGCGATTGCGTCTAGCTAAAGCATAGTAATATCGAGGGAAATTTCGCTCTTTATTCGTGTGTGTCTCTATGAGCACGCAAGAATGCGTTCACAGCAGAGGATGCTCACACGATAAAGTTAAAAATGGGAGATGCTGTACGTGCGTGCATTTACTGCACTGGGATTAGGGGTCATGCTGCAGAAGAGATGAAATCGCTCTAGTTCGCATTACCAGAATGAGTTTTGAAGTAAGACAGTTGGCCTGTGCGCAACCAGCGTAGTTGGACAGGCACTGCAAACGCACTCTACAGTCTTGCACTCACACAAAAAGTACCGTTTCTGCAAGCAATCATTGCATCAATAATATCGATGGTCAAAGACCAGCACGCATTATATTAACTTGGATAAAAATTGCCACGTGAAACAAGAAATTTTGTGTAAAGCGACCACTTACATTTCATATTGGTGTACGCCACATCCACAGTCGCTGTGTTGAGTGAATCGGGCAAAACTGCCAGCCCATTTTCATAGGCCAACGGTGACCGCATGATAAAAGGAATCGTCCGTACACTGCGTTGCTTCAAGGAATCCTGAAACAGTTTTTTGAAGTTTAGTCAGTGTTTAGGCTAGAGCATCATCAAACCGTTCACACCACAAATTTAGTGACACACCGTGTACCTAAGCCACTAAGAACAATTATACCCTCCTGCCGTGCCTCCTCAATTTATGAGGCTAGGAGGCAATCCCAGAGCTCTAATGAGCACACTCCACGATTTGAGTTTCGCCTAGTCTAGACCTTCAGATTGCGCACGAACAGGTTGTGCACAATCTCGGAAGCCATGACCCGGTGTGCTCGGCAGCACACATGCCGTCGGGCAACAGAGACGAAGATCGTGGAGTGGGTGATATTCTGCTCCGGCCAGCCGATCTCACACAGCCAATCAGATCAGGAGCCTGGGTGATGTCGCACTACCAGAGGATGTCGTAACGTGAATGCGCAGTTTAAAACACGTTTGGCCGAGCCGCAGTGATCTGCAGCAATTCGTAGCTTTAAAGCATTGGAATAAATTACACAGTTGACGCTGAGAGTCTAAATCAATCAGTAAGTGACCCTTAGGACTTCGTTTACCTGCCCAATGTGTTTGTACGAAATCGCCAAAACCATTTCAGGGTCCCTTAAAAGGGGCCCAGGAACACTTCTTCAGCATAGTCAGAAAAAGGTGCCCATAGGTAGTCGAGGCTCCTGAGAACACACACGCCAAACAGTATATGTAGCAGAGCATGTAGCCTAGAATTTACAATGAATTCTTAAAGTCAGCTAGAACTTGTTCCCGGTTCTTCATACAAGTGACGCTATACACCCAAATTCCCAGTGATTGGCTCGTTTGAGCATCGTCGGCTGCATAGTAATCACGGCCGCCGCGGGAGGACGCCACGTGCCCGTAATCGCTCTGAAAGAAAGCCGTACGTTCAAAAGAAAAGAGACAGAAGAGAGAGAAAGTGCGCGAGGTCATATAATGTGCGTGACGTAGTACCTACTTTTCCCGTGTCATCCCTCCCCACTTAGCTGCCAGTGCGTAATCGGTACGAGAGAAAGCAGTTACAGCATACTAGAAAATTATGCAATTCTGCTTGTACTACATAAATTATAAAAGCTTTTTTGACAGTCGATTCGTTAAAAAAAAAACTCCTGTAATGAGGCCATGCGATGGTTACACGGAAAAAAAAATTACATTATCGCCCGCTGAAGGGAATCGTGTACGGATGCGAAGCAGCGGGGAGATGTTTCGCTTGAGCAGGAGACTGTATGATTTTTTTTGAGACGACAAATGAGAATGTATTGAGAACATATAAGAGACCGTGGCGCCATATTGTACTAGGTGGATGTACGTGGCGCACATGCCATCGGTCCCGGGTTGCAGCAGCTGCTTCAAGTGTTTCGTTGCCTTCCCCACCGGCTCCCATTGTCTTGTCGCTTCAGGATCCGCTGCTTGACATATGCGTTTCGATCCAGCTTCGGGTTGCCGTGCGCCCTTGAGATTCGCCGCTCGACGTTTACGTTTCCATTCAGCTTCGCATAGCCTCGTCACATCGGGATCCTTTGCGTTTCAATTCCGCTTCGCGTTGTCGCACCACCTCGAGATTCGCCGCTCGACGTTTCGATTCCACTTCGTGTTGTCGCGCCGCCTTGAGATCCACCACTCGAGGTTTATGTTGCAATTCGGACTCGCGTTGCTGTGCCGCCTTGAGATCCACTGCTTGACATTGACGTTTCGATTTGGCTTCCCGAGCCCAGAATTTAGGGTCCGCTTGCCACCGTTGATGTTTCCTTTCGGCTTTACGAGCCCGAAATTCGGCATTGTCATGTAGCCACTCCCGTTTCGCGGCAACGGCCCGAGCCCCATTCTATGCCGCGCTGACGTTGCGAAATTGATGCTGGTGCTCATCTCGGCATTGTGCAGGATATTTCGTCATTTTATACTGCGGAAGTACCATGGCGCCCCCAGCGGGGTATGCAGTGCCAACCAGGTACCTGTGGCGCAGTGGGGGTGTGGACACCACAGCAGGGATGGACAAATCTCCCGCCATAGGTGTTGCAGAACCCCTTTAATCGAACGTGCAACATGCACCCAATCCATAGTGTTAATTTGATGTCACTTCCGCCGTTGTCGCCCTCTTCCGCCTTGCCCGGGTACCTACAGCAGTTCGCATGCTGCAGCGCAGTTTGTTGAGCGCTCGTCATCTGTTGCTGTGTACGATGTTGAAAAGGAAGCACTGCAGTTTTTTGTTGTCGTACTTTAACGAGCTTATCAGATCAGGAAGGCCGCTTGTTCACTCGATACAAGACCAGAAAATCAAGATGTACAACACGTATACCAGCCACCGCGTACACCGGCTGTCTGCCCTGACCTACGAGGGCCCGTCATCTTGCTTTCACTACAAATTGCGTGGCCCAAGAACAAGTGAAAGCCCAAAGTCTCTCGAGCCGCAATTTTAAGAGTGGATGAGTGAAGCGCTGCAGCTCCGATAGAAAACAAGTTGTGCAGAGCTAGGCAAGTTTAAAAGAGATATAATATATTGCTGAGACCGATGCGACCAAAGTAGCAGCACGGCACCCGCAAGTGTTTTAAACAGTGCTGATGTTGAGCCACTTTGATTGGACTATGTGCAAACAGCCGAGGAAAATATTATGTGAGGTAGGTAGACTTCGCGTGGTGCGTGCCGCAGTATTGCGGGTCACTTTCTTTTTGCGTATATTTTGACACATTTTTCACCTTGTATTTTACTTTTGTTGTATGCCAATGTGCAGTGGTGTCCGTGAGAATGATGAAGACCATTTTAGGGAATTAATTGACCAATTTTTAAAAATCCTGACCCCCCAACTCGAACCGATTGGCTATACTTCAAAGTAAACTAATATTGTTTCACACCCATTTTCACAATTTGCTTCAATGCAATACTCGGATTTCTGTGATCGCCATCACGATTTTAACCACCTCCCTGGCACACTGATTGTGCACGCAGTGGTCACAGACAAGTTTGTATGTACAGTATATTGGTAAGCTATCTCTGTTTGGACGTAAGTGCTTGACTATTCGCAATGGCCACGGCATATAGTGGCACGCCGTGCAATCCAAGATAGCTGTGGAAGGATAATCAACCCGTGAACTTGCATAAGAGAAGATAGGACGCGTGGACGTACTTCCCATGCTGCTTTCACCGGAGGAACTGTTGATCGTCGCCCCACCGCGGTGGTCTAGTGGCTAAGGTACCCGACTGCTGACCCGCAGGTCGCGGGTTCGTACCCCGGCTGCATTTCCGATGGATGCGGAAATGTAGACCCATGTGCTCAGATTTGGGTGCACGTTAAAAAACCCCAAATGGTCGAAATTTCCGGAGCCCTCCACTATGGTGTCTCTCATAATCATATGGTGGTTTTGGAACGTTAAACCTCACATATCAATCAATCAATCGAACTGTTGATCGTCAAATTGATGTATATCGAACCAAAGTACTTTCCCAGCCACTAGGAACTGCTGAATCTTCGCTACCTCATTTGTAGCTGCATTGCAAAGGGTGGTGGTGTCAGCTGATCCACCATGTATGAACGATGCTTTGCGTAATCCTGTGCGTGCTACAAAAAACTGCGCGAACCAGAAATCGCATATGATTTGAACGGCACTGCAAGATCATTTGTGCCGAGCCTGTCTGGTGGGTTTGCCACAGTAGTAGGCCACTAGTGAATAGCGCGCTGTCGCGGCTGCACAGGAACGAATGTTTAATGTAGTGATGATTTGTAAGCGTGAGGCACCATCGTTACTTGCACTATAAGCATCTATAGCTGCTTCTTCAATGAAACACAAGCATTTAAGTTCCCATTAAGTAGCACATTTGTCACAGCCATGATCAGACTAATAACAGTGCACAATTCCCTGCACTTGGATGTTGCAGGTTTCATCAGCGCGATCGAAACAAGGATATTGAAACGAATATACATCACGTACCGTACGCTTTCCGCAATGCCAAAATTGTGAAAATTTGTCGTACAACAATGTCGTTCGGACGGCACCAGTGAAGTGCAGAAGTTAGCATGGACTGTAGCCATAACTGCATAATTCATTGCTCTGACTATTCTGTCTCGCTGGTCGAGCGTGTTGGCGGCATGTGGCGCTTTGTAATATCCACAGTAATTGGGATTATTTCAATGCACAAGAAAAAGTATGCTATTATTTTGAGCTTGCCGAAGATATTATACAATAAATACAATTAAAGTAACTTACGAGCATGAAAAAACATTAGCGCATAACGGGATGTGTAGTGCAACTCTCTGCTCGTGAGCTAGCAGCTTATCGTTCATCGTCGCTGTCACTCTCAGCGCGTTGACAACCATCTACGTCCAGTGAAAAATCCTTGATGTCAAGACGGTTTCTTAGAACATCACTGCTGAAAGTAATCTGAGGAATTTTCTCTGCCAAATGACTTCAATAGCACAACACCTCATTTACCAAGCACAAGACCCACATGGCGTCACTCACCACGTTTATCTGGTGGTGCGGGGATCATTTCGCTCCGATACCCGGTAAGAAAGGAATCACTTGTAGTGCGATGCCATCTATCGACGAACGTAAAAACAAGCGATGCAGCATAGGCCAAGGTTCGGAAGCGCAAATTGCGAGCCTGCGCTACTTTCCGCGTACAAAGAATGTTATGGGATTGATGCACTACAAAAGCACTGACGAATGCCATACGCACGTAAAACAAGGCAAGTTTAAATGAAATGGTCAGACGTTTGCATTTAACAATACAAAGCGGCTGCAGAAAATCTCGCAAAGCTGATATGTGTACTCTGCGGGCTATAATCGAAAGCGCGAGTTGCCATGTATTTTCACGACGATTCGTTCTTGCGAGACGATAAGTTTTGAAAACTTCGCGTTTTGCAAGAACGAATATGCTTTATCATGTCACGCACGGTCCGGTATATTCACTGATGTACGAAACATACAAAGTGGTTTGTGTTGTCTCTTGCTAACACGTTAACACTGCGGCTAGCACTGCCAAACATGGCAGCATTGGGAGCGTCTGCCTACTGTTCCTCCATGAGAGAATGCTCCTGAGTTCCGCTAGGCGGCGCGACAGTCTACGAAAAATGCCCATTGCACTAACTGGTAATGAAGTTACACCTGAAGACGCATATATCACCAAGTTTTTTCAAGTAGTTTTTGTTAATCCGCGCCAGCCAAACACGCCGGTACTTTTCAGAATATCGCATTGTGCATTCTCAATTTTAGGTAATAACATTCGGCGAAGTGGACACCCCGAAGCTCTGTTCTCTTCTTATGGACTACTGAATGAACTTGCCTCACCAGAAGCTGGTAGTTCCTCTAACTCGCATCATGAGGCAAAACTAAACGGGCGCAAGCACGAGGAAACAACACGGCAGCGGTCGGCGACGGAGTCTGTAGGTACCCGGGCATATCGGTACTGCATTTCCGAAGTGACGGAAGGGGCGCTGCGTGACGCACGTGCACGCCCGTTCTAAAGGGTACAGCCTTATCCATCCACACTATGTATACGTACAAACCACAGGCACGGACCTCGTGACGAGGGCGCTTGGGCGGAGGAGTGGAACCGCTTTCTGCCGTCGAGGGGATCATGTGTGGGTAAATGGTCGGGATGACGCCACGCCGTAACACAAGGCGACTTCGCGACACACCAATTGGCAAGAACTCGGGAACTGTCATGTAGCACGATGGCTCGAAATGAAGTGAACAAATGCGAGAGGTTTTCTTTGGAACCCAATCTTCGCGTCCCGTGGCGCGCACGAAATCGATCCAGTGCTGTCGTTGACGGCTATCGGCGGGGAACCTGTGAATCAGTGTGCCTTCGTATGGATTCGAGTTGCAGAAGTCAACCACGCAGTAAGATCTCGGCATTTTCTTAAAACGTCTTCGAACAACGATCAGGTCATCGGCAGCTGAAGTGCGTTGTTTACGAAGAAGCCTGCGCTGATGACTATATCGCTAGGAGCTTCACTCTTGGATTCATCGCGATCACAAATATGATAGAGTTAATATTAAGCCTATATATTAATTCTATGACTAATATTGCATCTATTTATTTTTGTCCACAGGTGTAACACTTATAATCTGCTCTAATATTTGTCTAAACTGAAACGATGCTTAGAGCGTAGCTGTAATTTTTCATGCTTCAAACAAAACCAACATTTTTCGTGCCTCAATACAATATATGTGAACCAAAAAAATAAAACAATGTATAAAATTGGAAAAAATACCTTCTTGTATTTGTAGCTTTTCAAATAAATTACTGCAAGAGAGAGATAACTTGCACTACGAAACTAGCTTGACGTTGCCGCAAGTCTCGGTGGCCGCAACAGCAATCACCCGAGTTGTCCGTGCTGGCACTACGGCCGTGTTGTAAGTTGAGCATTTCCTACTGATCTCTTTATATCCGCGACGCTTTAATTAGCTCGTTTCTCCAGACCCGTGTCGCATGCGCACCATTTGCCCTCCACTGAACCTTGGGTTGTCCACGCGCTGCGGAATGTCGAGCCAACTCGGCTACTGTCGTAAGCCGCCTAGGAAGGCTACGTCAGGCCTCCTTACTGCTCGCTGTCGTGGTCATTCAATCGTTTTGGGGCTGGTCCAGTTATTTCGTCACAACAGCGGCTTCCCGCTCGCACCACCTAACTGTTGATCTAGCCGGGCAGCAGGGTTTTAGTTTTCTCTTAAGTCCGCCTTTACTGTACGCGTCGTCCGCTGAGGTTTACTACAGCTGAGCTGACAGGTGTAATATGGAGAGGGGAAGGGGGGACGGTAATTACTCGAACTCGACCAGCTAGGGGATTCCGTATTTCTGGTTCGTTTATGTCGAGGCGGTTTGCTAATTATTCGTCGCTACTCGTCGCTGAAAGTGTCATTGGAACGGAAGGCGTCCGCAGTTTCGCTCGTTTCCGCGAAAAAATGAAACGGGAGCAGCGTTACACCTCTCCTACTGCTCGCTTATTAAAACCGCCGTGTGCTCCGAATCGAGACGGACCGGTGAAAGAAAAGGCCGTTTCCGGTTGTTTCTCACGCGAGCCGAGAGGGCTGCGCAAGAAAAAAAAAAGGCAAAGAAGTGTCGCAGTGTCCGCGCGGGCTCGTTTTCTCTTTGAATACCGATATCTTGGCAGCGCGCCCGATGTGTCGCCGTGCTTCTTAGCTCGTAGTACTACTAATCGCGAAGCCAGAGCGAGATGATCTGTTTATCGTTGGCAGTCCTTCTTTTCAGGGTGGCGAAGAAACCCGTTTGTAGAGCGGACGTATGAGCTGGGCGTTTTTTTTTTTTTTTATCGCTTCGATAAGATTTCTTCATGCCGGTCTCGAAGAAGTCTTGACGTCTTCCGCGGGACGAGCGCTCCTTCGACGTCATTTCTGCGGAAATGGGTGATTGGCTTTTTACGTGAACTCCAGTAGTGATGCGGCTGTCGCGCTCCTGAGTGACGAGTGTCACCGGAGTGTTTCGCTATCAAATCACCGCCGAGATTGTTTGAATTTCGATTTTATTTTAATAGAGCCGAGAAGTTTCAGTGCTGTTGAGTTTCGGACCGTACAGCGTGGGTATTGATAACAGAAAGAGTCGTTCGGCTTCACGAGCTCGCAGTTTCGTTTTTCTGGACGTTTGATCGTTGTAGCTTTCAGGTAACCGAAATAAATGCTCGAGCTGTGCCGAAGTTACCGCCGCATATCTGCGAGCTCGCGGAAAAAAAAAAAAAAACGGCCACAAAGATAACAGTGCTGCCGACTGATAACAGTGCTACGCCGCACGTGAAATGTTAGCTCCATGCACCCGACTGTTGTTGTAGCCGCACTTCCTCGTTTTTCGTGTTTCCGGACTCGAAAAGCCGATAACATAGCAAACATTCGAGCATGCGAAACCGTAGGTTTTAAAATTAAACACTAGACGGCGGGGATTCTTTAAAAAAAAAAAAAAAAAGCCTGGAACTGAAGGTTCCACGCGGGCGCAGCGCGATAAGCGGCAGTGTAATAAACAATTACGGCTCGGAACGCTCCGCTCAGCGCGCATAATCCCTCAGTGAAAGAGAGAACAAGGTCTAAACGCAAAAAAAAAAAAAAAAGTCCTTGCCCGTTTTGAAACAGATGCAGCGCGCGCGAAAACGCGAGTGACGTTGCCAACGTTGTTGCACGTCGCGATGCTGGTGACGTCAATACCCTCCGGCCGCGTGTTCGTGCTTGTGATCGCTGTTTGCTTTGCTACGAGTGCGAGCTCGTGCGGCCGCTACGCCCAACCTGCCGGCTTGTATCGCCGCCCTCCTCTGTTATTGTACCGGCTGGAATTCCCTCGTGCGTGCCCTGTCATCTTTCCAGTGTCTACCTTGACCTGTCATCCCCGGCTGTCTCTAATGGATGCAGCTTTTGTAATGTCGTCACACTCGCCGCAGCGTTCCTCGCACTCTTTTTCCTCGTGCTGTGGATTCCTACGGCGCAGCGGTTATAAACAGTGCTCGTGGAAAACCAACTTCACGGTTCTTCGCCTTGCGGAGTTGACAGACGTGGAGCCCTCGTTGCTGCGTTCGATGACCCTGCCCTTGATGACAGGACTGCCGAATGATGTCGCTACTGTTCTGAGCTTTGTAAGCAAGTTGAGAGATGTTCGGCTTTTAACCTAAACTGGCTATGATACCTTGTGCATACCTCGTCGTCATTCCAGCTAGTCACGAATTTCTACCTCGACCTGTCATCCCCGCTGTGTACAGCTTTTCCAGTGTTGTCGCACATGTTGCAGCATAGAGTTTCCTTTAAATACACTAGTGTGCTTATATTGCTAATGGAAGCTGCATCGCACGGCACATCAGCCAGCATATTGTCACGTCGCTCCAGGGGATGTCGTCAAGGTTTATTGACGTCTGAGCAACAGGGCTCTAACCAAGCGCGTCGGTTGGGCTTGTTTTCCAAAGCAGGGGGGCCCACGCGCACTTCTTTCTTCTCTGAGGTGTGAGCCTTCACCTTGGCATACGACCCACTACTAGAAGTAGGTGGCAATATGAATGGTGGGTAGTACACAAATTTGTCTAATCTTCGTTCGTTTGGCTCCGTGCGACCTGATTCCACTTCACCACCTTGACCTTTTTAGGCTCTTCAATTCAAATCGGCTCACGAATTTCACAAGAGTCCGGTTCTTTTACTCGAAACAAAACAAAAAAAAGGCTGCAATGAACAAAGTCACAAGAGCATTCGAAGCGGCAAGCATGAGGACTAGGCAAATTTGCATACCACCCATTATTCTGGCTGAAGAAGTGGCTGGACAATTGCAGTGTCCCCACTAGTTAATTTTAGAAAACTATGTGTTGCAGCTTTCCAAACACTCAACCACTCCTCCAATTATGGTGTGTTAGCGTCCTAATGTAGTGGTTCAGAATCGTTCTTTTGGTGCACCGTCTAAAATAATTTCCAAGTGCCTATGAGTCCACCGGCCTTTCGGCTTGGGGCATTGACTGATGTGGAGATCCATTTGCCGTGGTAGGTGACTCTGCTGTTGATGTAACTGCTAAATACATCATCAGTGATGCTTTGATTATTGTTGCACATCTATGCTTTGGAGCTACTATTTGCATACTCAAGTGCATAGTTATCTGTTATGCTCTGCTTATGATGCAACGTTGACTGAACAAATTGGTGATGTCGAAAGATAAATGTTTCGAATCTGCGTCACACTGCATTGCTTCTTTCAAGGCTGCACACCGAGGTGTGTTTTGTAGTGGGTGAGGGAGTTGAAATGTTTGTGGAGCCTTGGGGAATGCGAGGATACTGCACAGGAAGGTCTCGTCAATTGCATGTAGATGAGCTTGTGCAAGTTTTGCTTGTGTGTGTGTGTGGAGCCATGTGTGTACTCTGCCTTTTTTTAGCTTTGGTGGAAACTGTGGGTGTTGGAGCTACTGTTGCGAGTGAATCCCACGACCACGGATGCGTAGAAAAAGTGCTTTTGACGGCAGAACTGTTGTAGCTCGCTGTGGTTTGTGTGGGGTCACCAGACATACATCGTCATCAACCGACAGGTGCTCTCTTCATCCTCCCCTTCATCATTTTCATCCTTCTGCCTTTTCCCTTCAACTCAAGTGCAGATTTTTCTAGCACAAGATGCGGTAACTCTGGTGGGCGAGATGAGTACAGTGACAGAGCAAGAGAAATGAAGATAGAAAGATTCTAATTGAAAAAGTAGCAGAGCATAGTGTGACCTTGTAAAGCACAGTACAGATAGTAGGTGGGAAAGAGATCTGAGAGAGAGAGGGCCAGAAGTGAGTGGGAGAAGGAAAAGAAGGTAGAGAGTAAAACGCCAAGTTTCCTATTTATACACTAGAAGGAACTCTGGCACTAGTGTCTATGAGAGCTAGAACGCATGGCGCCTCAGCGAACTGGAAATTATGGGTAGTACACAGATTTGCCTAATCATTGTACTTTACGTTCTGTTTGGTTTCACACGGCTTGAGGCTGTTTTGTCACGAAACAACAAACGGCAATAGTTTGTCAGTTGCGCTCCACCGCCTTAATCCTTTAGGCTCGCCAATTCGATTTGGGTCATGAGTTCAAAACAGTTTGTTCTTTTCCTCGTAACAGAACCTAAACGAAGCCGCAAGTGCGATTCCAGGCCCACAAGTACAAAGACTAGGCAAATTTGTGCACTACCCATCATTCCCATAGTCGCTGAACGATCGCAGCGCCAGAGTTCCCTCTAGTTAATTTTAGGGAACTCTAATAAAAAAAATACACCACAGTAAGTAAGAAAAACAGAGAAAACAAATAGTAGAAAAAAAATGGGAACAATGAGAGAGAGAGAGATAGAAAAAGGAAGCTAGAAGTATTGAGATAAAGAAAGTGAAATGAATATAAATATAGATGGAGAGAAATGGGAGGTGAGGTTATGAGGAGGAGAACGCCACCAGCTCTGCTGCTACCTGAGTCTTTGTACCACAGGTGCTAAGCCACCCTACATTTGTTTTTGTTCTCAGGCTAGACTGGAAGTACTAGGGTACTTGGAAACTAAGCTCCAAGTGCCCTAGTACATATGTTCAGAGTAATGGATGCGTTAGGAAAACCTCACATTGCGTGAATCTGTTGAGGAGGAATTTTTTTTTTTTTTTTTTTGTTCTTTTCGGTCTCCGTAGATTTAAGCTCTTGGTTCCTCAGGTAACCATTTGCATTGTTCGATTATTGCCACTCTGCTTCTCTGTTATTAATGACAGCCTCTTCCCCTATTTTTAGCGACAGTGTTAATGGACACTTCTGCTCTGTGCAATCATTTTTGTGCATGGTCATCGCAGGCAGCTAGTCCCCACAGAGGCAGACCACCATGGCTAGTCCACGAACGAGGAGGGTCTTACAAGACCTGAAGCCCCGGGATTCGAATAACGTGAGTGGTGAACTCTTTTATTTTCGCCTATTGATACCTCCTCATACAATCTTCATGAATTCAGGCTTGTGTTATAAATGTTGTGGTAAGTGTTGAGTAGCTGTTCCGTTCGCTATTTATATTTAGCTTGTCAGTATTGGAACGTTATCCCGCAGCGGTGGTCTAGCGGTTATAATGCTCGACTGCTGACCTGCAAGTGGCGGGATCGAATCTCGGCCGGTGCAGCCGTGTTTTCGATGGAGGCGAAAATGCTTGAGGCCCGTGCAGTTGCATTTAAATGCAAGTTAAAGAACCCCCGGTTGTCAAAATTTCCGGTGCAGTCCACTGCGGCGTCTCGTAATCATATCTTGGTTTTGCGACGTTAAACCCCAACAATTGTTGTTGGGGTTTAACCCGAATGAGGTTAGTCTCCGAATGCTATGTTGGCACTCTTGTGACAGCAAAAGGATGCCAAAAGGGTAGTTTTCTAGAGCAAGCTTGTGTTGACAGTTTCCTGAAGCAAGCCACATCTGAAACACCGAAGTTGTGGAGAAGTGGGATCTGAAAGTGACGTGTTGTTTGTCAGCACTTGCTGCGCCATATTTGCTGTTCCTTGTGTAAAGGTTTATGTATTCGTAAACACAATTCTGCTTATGGCAAACCTTTTTAAAATCTTCTCTGATACATTTTTTGCCTTGTTCAGTGTCGTAGCACGGTATCATATGGACTTCAGTGTGAGCACCTTGCTTTAAAACTTTTCAAGTTTGATTGCGTCCGTTCTGTCGAATCTTAGTGTGCAGGACAGGAAGCTGTTGTAGGGGCACAAGCGATGCTGAGATATCCGAAATTGGTGTTTTAGCTCTAAAATGCAGAATAAGTGACAAGAGTTTATGGAACACAAGAGATTAAAAAAAGGGGGGGGGGGCAAAAACTTGTGTAGCCCTAGGACAACAACGAAAGATTATTGGGAAGGGGGTAACTATGGCAACAGAGCCTCCAAGTAAGTGCCTCGGTTTGTTTTTGCAACACATGCAGGTACCCATTAAGTTTCAAGTATCATGCCTTGATTAGTGGAGGGGAAATTGGCATTGCCATGGAACTTGTGTTCTGTAAATTCGTGTTTAAGGTTGTACCACTGAGGTTACGTTCGATTGGTTATAATCAGACTGGCGACATGCATATCTGAACCTTTCATGTTGTTACCGCATTTTTTTTCTACAGAATGAATGTGGATGTTCTTGAAGCGGCACTGACACAAAAGTTTGGGCCTCGTGTTTTTTTTTTTTTTTGCTCCCATGTGTTCTTAGTGGGCCTGTTAGTCATAACACATCACATCGTTTTCTGCAGTGCAGAACAGATTAATTACTAATTATAGGCTCATTATTACTGACCAGTATCAGTTTCTTCAAAGAAGACAAGCCACCAGGTGCAACTATCACCACCTAGCGGGTGCAGTGCTCAACCATGTCAGCACACTGTAATGCACTCCCACGCGGTTCCAACAGGAAGCTTTTTTTAACTGTAAACGGGACAGAAGTGTAATCAAACACAAAACTTTCAACCACAGTTGATATGCACAGAAACAGTCCTATGAAAATGTTCCTGAGGTGTTTAGGCATTTTTTCTATAGCTGTAAAAATTTCGCGTGGCAGTGCTCGTTTATTCGACACTCTCTCTTACCATTTCCCTGCCCTCCTGTCCCTTGCTGTTCACACACAGAAATGCTTCGAGTGTGGAGCCCACAACCCCCAGTGGGTCAGTGTCACCTATGGCATCTGGATCTGCCTGGAATGCTCGGGAAAACACCGGGGTCTTGGTGTGCACCTCAGGTGAGACTAATGGTATACTTTGTTGTCGTCGCTCGTACTGGGGGAGTGGTGACACAAATTTTTAATGCGATTCATTAAAGAGCTTGCTTCAGGGTACAGTCAGACCTCTTCGAAAGAGACACTGATGTAAGAGAAAGCGAGTGTAAGAGAAGCCAGTGTGCTTAAGAAACTCTGATGTAAGAGACAAGCGAGTATAAAAGACGCCAGTGTGCCTACACTAAAACTTGCACCCTGCTTATAAGAGACACTTGGTATAAGAGATAAGAATTGCTTTCCGGTGCATGTCTCTTATAAATAGGCTCAGCTATAATTCTGGTGTTGGCGTCGGGGGGGGGGCGTTCACACTTTGGGTTTTCTTGTGGTCTCCACCGAAATTTGAGGGCAGGCTAGCGATTGGGAAAGTGAATATGTGTGTGTGTGTGCATGTGCATGCATGTGGATATCGCTGTCGTGTTCAACTGTTAAAGGCGGAGCTCAAGGGTCCTCCAATTTTCGAAGTTATAGAAACTCCACCACACGCCTTTCACACAGGAGAGGTCGCACTTAGCAAGAACGAATGGTGCGGAGCACTTACAGGATACATTTAAGTAGAAATACTCTAGTTGCCATCGAAATGACAAGGGTGACAACGTTCGCATGATTTTGGCTGCATTATAGAGAGCCCCGAATAGAGTTCAATGCATGACTGTGCTAAAAAAACAAGGACAAAAAAAAGAAATGTTCACCAGGCGAGTGCAAGCTTTCAACTTCATTACAAAAAAGAGCCAAGGGGACTAAAAATTTGATGCATTGACACTTTCTTTTGGGCTAGTTAGTGTAAGCTTGGAACATAATGCATAGCTGCGCTAAAGAAAAAAAACAAGGACAAAGAAAAGGTGTACATCGGGGGGCATAAACTTAAAACTCTATTACAAAAGTCCTGTGTACATTTTTCGTTTCTCCTTGTTTTTTAGCGCAGCCGTGCATTATGTTCCAACTAGCCCAAGCGAAAGCATTACTACCCTAACAAAGTCATGCGAAAGAGTCGATTGAAAAGCCTCTAGTTGCATTGTTCATGTTTGTCAAGAAGAGCATTTTGGGTCTTTTGTTCACTCCCCCATTTCTCAGCTGCATACAGCAGTTGAAAACCTATTGAACCAATCTGTAGTACTGTAGCTGGGCATTCGCATATGCTGACACTCGGTTCGCAGGAGTTGGTGGGGCATGTGGTGGCAGTACGCCAATGGTACCTACCACGAGGCATTCCAGGTGTTAAGATTGGCAAGGTGCACCTGCCAGCGCGAACATCAGTCTCCATAAGTTGCTCTTTGATTGTCAGTCACGATCTGTCGCATGTCTGGTGCACATCAGATAGTCTAGTGGACCGCAGTTCTAAAACGGGGCCCTCATTTTATTCAATGTTTCTATGGTGTTCATTTAATTGAAATTGTGCGTTACTGGACAAGAGATGGGAAGAGGATTGCACTGGGCATGCTCTGAACTCTCAGTTGATTTCAGAAATAACTGATAATATGCGTACATTAAAACTACAGTGATATGAATCTCGCAGGGTCACCACAAATATTTTTATCAACTGAAATTCGTACTACCAGAAAACATGCAAAATTAGCATGCGACAAAATCAAGTTGGCATACATTTTGATTTATTGGGGCAGCTAACGACATCATGAATAGCTTTGGATGATTGCCATTAAAGTTTTGAGATTTCAATGAGCATGCTTGTACTTGCAAATATATGGTGCCAGTGCGCGTGCCTTATTAACAAATCACATGCGTTGTGACGTCTGACCACTAGTAGCTCCTTCCTTATCCCACAATACTTTGTCACATCCCACCAGAATACTGCGGCGAAAGCGGCTTAAGAAGCACTTTGCACGCGATTGATGAGCGCCAGAAAATTCTTGAGCTTCTGTCGCTTGTTTCTGTTGTTTCCTTAGTGCGAGGCTGTTGGAAGTACTTTTCCGAAGATTTACGGCTGTGCTCGTATAATGGGAGGTCTGCTTTGAATTTGTGAGTCTCCACTGTGAATCTGAGAGTTTGGCGAGTGTGTGCGTACGTCGCGAGGCCTTAGCTCTTTTGCCAAGGTCATTCGCTTTGTATCTTAGGGTCCTTGCCAAGATTACCAGCTTGCTTCTGCATTGTGCAGTTTCGTGCGATCCATCACGATGGACAAGTGGAAGGACCTGGAGCTGGAGAAGATGCGTGTCGGTGGCAACGACAAGGCGCGCCGCTTCCTCGAGGCCCAGCTGGACTGGGACCCCACCGCACCCCTGGCCCAGCGCTACGACTCCAAGGCGGCTGCTCTCTACAGGGACAAGGTATGACTCCTTGGTTGGTGTTAGTGCTGCCCTCCACTTTGTGATTGGTCAGTTAGCAAAGCATGCAAAGCTGGTCATGCTGCACTTTTGGGCTCTGCCAAAACAGCAACACTTGAGATGCTCCTGGGAAAGTAGCAAGAGTAGAGACGCCGGAGCAGTGCACTTTCTGACATTTGGCTGATAAGCCGTTACGTGCTTTTAGGAATGCACTATCTGCAGCATTTGACAGCTGTCTGCTGTGGCTCCTGTGCGTGTGATGGTTGCGATAAGTGGATTCAAGCAATAGATCAGCTGACAGACAATGTAAGCTTTCATGTATGCAAGGAAATAGTTTAACTACGTAATGCCACGTTCCATTTCCCAAGTTTTTGTTATCGTCCCAAAACACCACACGATTCTCAGCGCAAACCGCGCCTGCAGTTTTCTAGAGGGTTCCGGACTGTAGTAGATCATTTCGATAAGATCACGCCCACTGTGCGAATGGTACAGATTGTTCTGGAACGCACGCCGCCGCCAGCGATAGCACTAGAACATTCGACGGCGGGAGTATAAATGCCGACGCGCTTCGCCGCTTGTCAGTTGTTGATCGAAGGCCGACGCTCCGTTCGCCGCTATCAGTCTGAGACTGCTATCTGTGCGAGACTGCTGCTGTAATTGGACTTTCTGTTTACTGGGCACAGGTTCGCCCAAATAAACAGTTAAATTCCAACAAGAAGTCTCCTGTCTTCGGCCACGTCACGACCCCGTGACAGTATATTTGGGCATGACGATCATGAGTTTACGCTTACCACTCTCACAGGCACTTGCCATGACATGTGATTGCCATCACATAAATTATTCCTAGCAGATAGGTAATTAACATGGCGATGTGCACTTTCATATTTCTGTTGTGTACGAATGGCTTTCTGGTTGCTGAGGGTCTAGGTTGCCAATGACATGTTTTTTAAAGCAGAACTTACTGACACAGCTTTTCAATTCCCAACAGTTCTCTTCTTTGATGATTTGCTTTTTCTTTTTTTTAAAGGGACATCGAATAAAAATGTAAAAAAAAAATTATTGAAGTACCGTATTTACTTGCGTGATCCTCGCACTCATATAATTCTCGCACCCCCCCACATCGCCCACGAAAAAAATACAATTTTTTTTTTCTCGAGTAATTATCGCACCCTTGAAAACTGCCGCAATAATGTCGTCTGCTCGTTCCAGCCATTGATGATGATGGCGCACACCATCTGGCGCCATCTCTTAAGCATCAAGCGTACTATTGCACAGAGATGCAATCGAATCCAAGCCAAGCCGAAGTGGCCAGTGCGCGTTGCGGCGTGTTTTGTGTGTTGTGTCGGTAATCTTGGCACGTTATGGGGCGATACTGAAGCCACACGGCTGCTTCAAGTTGCAAGTGATAGATCATGCGCTAAAAATTGGCAACAGAGCCGCCGGTAGGCCCTTTGGAGCCTACGAGTTTTGTGTTCGCTACTGGTGACGGCAGCTGAAAGCCACCAAGACGCGTTGGGCCTGCCGTGTGCCTAAAACTGGGATTGATGGTAAACTTTATTTTTTCAGAAGGGAACTGCGGACGATTCTGTTAAATAGCCATCAGCCCAATACTGACGTCCTACGCTTACTTTTTGAGGGCTCCTGTTGAGCGCCGACCGCTACCGCTACGCCCGCAACGCCCACAAGCTTCGCGTATGGTATTCTAATTCTCGACTATTTGCTTCCACTTTTTGTGTCTCAAATAAATCTTGCCTTGTGTTGAACCTCTGCTTTTATTTTTTAGGTAAGTTCTAATTAGTACTTTTTAAAGCTTGCTGTAAGGTGCTTTTGTGAGAATTCCGATTTTTGACCACTTCGTTTTCTTTTTCGCTCTCTGCGTTTTCGTAGAAATTTTTCCCCCCGTAATTCTCGCACCCCCCAACTTCGCATCGGTTTTCTGGCAAAAAAAGCGCGAGGACTATGCGAGTAAATAGGCTATCAAAATTCCACTCTGCAGACGAGACTGTTCTGATAAACAGTTTATTTCACATATTTTTAAACAGCTGGTTGTATTGTTGGAGGGTAATGAGTGCGTAAAGCAATGCGTCAATGACTGTGACGTTAAGTGTGCAAGCGGCCTAAGGAAAGAGTACACTTTGTCTCTCTACAGTCAAATCTAGACACACTCAAACCTCATTATAACGAAATTTTATCTTACATAAACATAAGTTTGTTATATCAAAACATTTGTTAGAAGTATTTTTCATTTTCAGACCATTTTTAATTACTTCCTTAAATACGGTATTTCGTTATATCTGGGTTTGTTATATCGAGGTCTGAGTGCATATCAAATCTGAAGAGAATTGGAAAAGAGTTTTATATAAACTCAAACATCATTATAACAAAGTTGTGTCTTGCAAGAAAATAAATTCGTTATATCAGAAAATTTGTTATAAAGGTTATTCTTAACACTGTTATCTATTGCAAGACCATATTTTTATTTACAGTAGAAGTTGTTGTAGATATTGAGAACATGAGTGTCGAGTCTGCTTCTGCGAAACAATGGACATGGTGCTCGGCTGCTGATTTGAAGTTACGGGTTTGATCCCAGCCGTGGCGGTCGCATTTTGATGAAGCCGAAATGGTAGAGGTCCGTGTACTATTCGATGCCAGTGCACGTTAAAGACCTCTGGATGGTCAAAATTTTCGAGGCCCTCCTCTCATAATCAAATCGTGTTTTTGGGATGTAAAACCCCAGATATTAACACGGGTGTCAAGGAACCTAAAAGAATTGCCGTGCTTGGGAATGCATTTAATATATCTGTAATCCCACTACCTTAAAGGGGCCCTAAAACACTTTTTCGAGTAACCATGAATGTATTCACTGGAATAGCTTATTGCTTCACGAATTCAACGCCGCAAAAATTTTAAGAATCCGTCCAGTGCGAGAGGAGTCACAAAGGTTTGTCGCATGCTGCAATTGCATTCTCTCTTCTCTCGCTTCAACGAAAGCGCTGGAAGCTAAGCAGAGAGGGATGGCAGGGCCACAGAAAAACGTCACGCGGGCTTTGCGACCTTGAGCACTTTTTTTTTTTTCTTCAAATGCAGGGCTTTTTCTGTGTGAACACGCACGCACACGGGAACAAGTAGTGGCCTCCCACGACGATCTTTGTAACGAGCGAGCTCACCATGTTCAAATCAACCAATGACTGATACATGGGTCGTTGACGTGTGATTTTTGGGCATATAACGTGATTTGTCAGGCCACGTGCCGTGCTATAATATTTGGCTAGCATGTTGTCGGGAGCCTCTACTACCGATTGGCAGCATTTTCTGACCATAGTGTGGCAGGGCCCGTTTAAAAACTGATTTTGGCTTCGGTATTGAGGGGGTGTCTTCCCAGTGACGAGTCCACACAAGTTTGATGTCACAAGAAGACTGCAACTCGCAACATACTAGCAGTAGCTGTCAGTTTGTTGTCAGTCACATATGTTTCTCTGGAACATCGAGAAGTGAATTGTCGTCCAGAAACTCTGTCAGTAATTTCTGTGATTTAAGTTGGTTGTACACAGAACGCATATTTCGCTAGTCGAGTGAACAGTGTTGACTGGTGATTATGTCCATTGCAATGGGGCTGGCTGGCACATGCTGAATGATCAAAGCTTTAAAATCAAAGTAAAATGTTTTATACTGGTTGCCTGGCTACATTGTGGGGAGAGCATCAATAGTGCACTCCATGGAAATGAGAAATGTCTCCTTTGAGGAGCCTCGAAATCGTGTTGGTACTCCTTTAATCTTGTGCCTAATGGCTCCTGAGGCTTTGCTGCATCTTAGCTCTCAGTGTTGGAAATATAAATTATTTTTCTTTTTACTCACTGTAAACCTTTGAATTAAAGAAAAACTCCTTCTTGGACTAGTGTGTCCGACATTCTTGATATTCAGAGATTGTGCAGAAAAGACACATTCACGAGTGCGAGTGCAGGAACAAGTGCAAACTTTTTCACACTATATTTAAATTTCAAGGACTTCGAATTCAACGTATGCCTGCACAGAAATGTTGACTTGCTGTATTCTCTAAACAAACAAAAGGATTTTAACTTCTGGTTCTCCAGCCCCCTTTTTGGCCCGCAACACCACTGCCACCAAAAAAAGGAAGAAGTTCTGAATAAAGCTTAAGAGATGACAAAAATCTCGAACGCTGGGTGTCACTGAAGCCGACGTTTTGACGAGCGGACTCGCCTTCTTCTAGGCTACAACTGCTGCAGATGCCTTGAATAAGACAGGACAACTTGTCAAAATGTTGGCTCCAGCGACATCTCACAGTCACAAATTTTTTCATTGCGGCCCCAAGTGTTAGCTGAGTCTTACGAGAGCGACCGTAGCCCTGTAAATCAATGGTTTGAGAATTATAACATTTTAGCACTGCTCGGAAGTGCCTTGTGACCACGACCGGTGTCTGCGCGCAGATTGCTACAGAGGCCCAGGGCAAGACGTGGTCGGCCGAGACTTCGTCCGGCCGGCACCACGTGACGCGCACCTTTCCCAAGAGCAGCTCGGGTCCCGAACTCAAGCAGAGCTTCGGCACGGGCTCATCACGCTTCGACGACTCGGGCAGCCGGCCCGAAGACTGGAGTGGGGGCTACCAGAGGTGGGTCGAGGCTACGTCCACATTATTTGACTACATTTCATTATGTTAACAGTCCGCATGATTTTAAAATGTAAACCTCTCCTAATCGTTCTATGTGCTGTTGACATTTTGAAATGAATCCCCACCAACTTGCTCCAGCATCAGTCTTTTCAAACTATATTTCACTGCAGTTACTTAATGTAGTTCCCACTCTTACAGGTGTAGTGAAGGGTGCTGGAATGCCCGTTTGGTATCAGTGATCACATTTACCGCCTTCACTTTGTGGAGGACCATGAATGGACAGCACTGACATTTAGATGAACACCTACAAATAAATTACTTAAAGAAATAACATCTTTCTTGCTGATGCTCCGTACTGTGTGAGATGATTTGTATTTAAAACACATTATTTGGTGGGATTATCATGTGTAATCTGTGCATATACTAAAGCTTACACCACATGGGCGCTTGCCAATGCACAAGCGTCTATAAACCTTGTGCCTGCTGCACCTTTGCATACGACTATACATCACTTTCTCACTGGGCAAGCTGAACGTCATTGATAAGTTTATTTCGCATTGTGTAACTTATAGCTCTTCGAAATGTGAAATCTGGGTCTATGTACTGTCCATAAAACTGGTGTAGAACAAAGCTACTCCGCACAACGCGGCGCAGCGAAGCATACAAGCAGGACCGTATGTTTGTGTTGACGTGTGCGTAGGATAAAATTTACGTGTCAAGGGGCAAACTTGCGCGAACTTGCTTGTACATGAAGACATGCAACCACACTAAAGTTTTCATTCGTTTTCAGTCGTCTTGCAAGTTTGTGCACGCAGGCAAGGAAGTGTGTGGTTTGGCCTTCAAAATTGGCATTTTCTAATGGTGGGGCACCACTGGCTCATGCGAGTTATCTTAATGATTGGCCTCGGGTTGCATTGAAGAGCAGTTAATGGGTAACCAAGCTTTTGCTTCCTCTCAGCTTGCCACTAAAGGGAAAAACAATTTTTCGTGTGGTAGCAAAGTACGATTTTGCAGCCCTGAAAACACGACTTACCGTGATGCGATGCTTGGTAAGTGAGACAACAAGTAAAGAGAAAATGTGGGTGGAGATGCTACCTTGAGATTCCCGCACCAAAAACAGTGACATAGATTTCGAAGGTGTGTACTGGGTTCTACGTAGCATCTAATCAATAAAAATGAAGTACATTGTCATGCGTGGTTGCCATGTACTTAGTAGCATGCAAAGTTTCAGAAAATTTCATCGATGGATCAATGTCACAAAAATATGAAAAATACATTCTGAAATTTCTGACATCACGTGCAGAGATTTCGGTGCGAAATTAGAAAATTATTCTTCAACCTTGACTTTTTCCTCTAATTTATGATAGTGAAACTTGAGGCATGAGAGTTCTCAGAGTGCAGTTTATCAATCTAAACCAAGTCACTCTCGTTCATTGGCGTCCCTTTAATAATGCTTCTAGCACACCTGATTGGTGAAGTTGTTGAGAAATTTTAAAATTCGTAGACCTGATCAAAGACGTCAAAGCAAAGTGCAGGAAGCAACATTTATCAGGGGTCTTCTTGGTACAGGTTAGAGATAATGCACTAGGCAATGCCTTGCCTTCTAAAATCTTTTAGGAGCAGTGACACCAAATTTCAAGCTAGAAATGTGGCGTTCATTTGATCGCTTGGTATGCAGTTTTTTAGCGAAGTATGAATGGGGTTTCGTTACGTAGAAGTTATACTGTCTTGAGCTTGTTCACTGCCATTAGACATCAACAGTATTTCGACGTATTGAGCAAGCTCTTAGGCCACGGCTTAGGTCCTGAGTGACGATGAACGAGCAGCAATGAGGTCGACAGTTTTACTGTTGTCATCGCAGGGCGTACATGTGACACCACCTGGCGGCAACACCTGGTTGCCTGGCAGCGGCATCACGTGCTTTGTCTTACTTGGTTCATGCAGCGCATTCGTGTGCATCCTGTGTTTTCGTTGTTCTGTGTCGGGTGATTTGCCGTGGAGTCGTGAGCGCGTAGCTGGTCTAGGTAAACATTTGCAAAAAACGAAGACAGAGTAAAAGAAGGGCACAAGATGAGCGCTGACTTTCAACTGAAAAATTTGATGGAGAAACACAAAGCATATACATTTCTGTGTGTCCTTCTTTTACTCTGTCTTTGTTTTGTGCGCTGCTTAGCTCGACCAGCTATGAATTGTTACCAACTTGCTCAGTTTTCAATACTAGTCGTGGACGCAAGTGTGATTATTTGAACTAACACGCGCGCAGCGTTCGTATGTCTTACCAGCCAGCGTGGCCCAAGCTTGTGTCTCCAGCTGCTTCCACTGCTTGGTCTGGCGTCGATTTCATAATAACTGCTTAGAAAAGGGTCGGACCGAAAATGATTCGCCACGCCACGAATCACTGTGATTTCATATTCCTCAGTGTTTTCATCGTCACTTGTGGACGCTGATGACGGCGGTGACGACAATGGCGGTGGCAAAGGCATGCCTACACACATGCACGCTGAGCATACGAAATGTCAACTGAAACTCGTGTCGCCATTTCGTGCGGCCACGTGAACAGATGGGGCGTGACCACTGGCTGTGACTGCTTGGCAGACCCTTTTTGAATTGGTTTCAATACTGTTCATACTATTCGATCATACATATATTGATTCATCCCTCTGTTGCATTATTGGTACGGAATCATTACAACGGGGTTGGTAACTACGTGTCTATGCAAAAAATCACGGTATGGGTCAAGTTGGTCTGACTGCTTTTTTTAAACCGGTGCACTGGACTATTCCGTAATGTGCCTTTGTGTAGCTTCTGTGAGATGTCGAACACTATTAAAAATTGTCCAGCATTGTGGAAAGAAACGTGTCTTTGCGCGCTTTTTCCTCAGTTGATTTACTCTCCCCATTCTTCCCTTGTGTTTTTACCTCACAGTTACAACTTCAACTCGGAGCAGGTAGCGTCTCACAGAGACGAGTTCTTCTCCCGGGTCCAAGCACAGAATGCCACACGGCCCGAGTGAGTCACCGAGTTTCTTATTTTAACTACAAGCATATTATCTGTGTAAAGATCCTTTAATTCTGTATTTGGATGATTATTTGATAGTGCCTTGGTTCATACTGTGAAAGGTGGTCACAAAGCCAGGTGTGGAAGGGATCATCCTTTTTTTCATAATACCGCGGGATCTTGCATATGTTAAGTATAGCCCTTAGCTGTATCTCTGTGAACATTACAGTGCTCTCAAGCAACCACCAGATTATGCAATAAGTTTCTAACATGGGTTCACATAAGCTGTTTCGTGCTTAGCTTAAAACTTGCATTCCAAGGTCGTTCCGGGTTGAAGATTGCAAGGCCATTTCATTTCTTGAACATTCCCTTGCCCTTCCTGTGATTCACTGAGCACCACCTTTTTCGTCAGCAAATGTTGACTCAGCAGGGCAGTGCTTGTTGCTCTGTGAATCATGAGACTGCAAGGAAATCTTTTAAAAGTGAAATGTTTGCATGACCTCGGCCCTGAAATTGGAGCCCTGATGTGGTTGGGCTTCTTCTTGCTTGGCTTGAATAGGAGTCGCTGTATGTGCTACCCTTACAGTGCATAGAAGTGTAAAATGAAGGGCTCATTTTTCTTGTTGGACACTATATTAATTAGAACAGACTATAATGCCTAGAAAAGTATATGGGAAGTTATATAGGCAGTAATTGTGATGTAAAAGTGAAGAAAGGAAAGTGGACAAAAAGATAACTTGCCACCGGCAGAGACTGAACCCTCGACCTTTGAATATCTCATCTGATGCTCTACCAATGAGCTACGTCAGCGGTCATCCCTCTGCCCGCTTTATAGGGTATATATGTGCACTTAAGCATGGGAGTGTTGGTCAGCGCCACCTGTAGCCATTACGGCGAGTGTATAACTCTATTTTTTTTTGCCTGTTGGCATCGCGTAGTACGTAGGAAGCAGAGTTTTATGTCTGTTTTCAAACCGCCGCGAGCAAATGTGCATTGCGGAGAAGCTGATGTTTCGGCCAATTTTCGTTTTTAACACTGCTGCAGCAGTACACTAAATTAACACTAGCCATTAGTAGTCAAGCCAATTGCTGATGTTTGGCAGGCCAGTCATGGCGATCGATGGCACACTAGGCAGGTCACTTGCTAGGATGAAATGTGGCTTAGCCCTGAAGCCTAGGTTGCTAGCTAGACCTACATGCAACTCTGCAGCTCTGTTAGCATATACAGTAAGTCTTAAAGTTGACACCTGGGTGACTGTGCAGCGACTTGCCACCCAGCCAAGGTGGACGCTACAGTGGGTTTGGCAACACGGTCTCGGCGCCGCCACGTAGCCAGTCCCAGGATTTGTTCGATGGTGCCTGGTCTTCCTTCAGCTCGGTAAGCTCCTTCTCAATTTTATCACATGTAGGTCAAATCGTAGGTCATTTAAACCTAAGTACAGTTGAAACTTAATTTAAGGAAGTGATGACCAAATCGAGTTTTTCCGGTACTACAGTCGAGCCCACATATAACGACCCCACTTAAGACGAACTTTCGCTTAAAACGAACAATGTCGGCGTGACCGTCAAAATATACATTGGTTCAATGGCACAAAATCGCACTTACAACGAACGTCTCCGAGCACCGCTGATCGGCTACAGCGAACGGAGTCAGTGGTCTGCCGACTTCTTGGGAAACCAATTTCGACCACCGATCAGGCATCGGCGAGGTACCCATACATTCTTATTGTTAAACGCCGATTCTGCCTCCACGCACCTCTAGTTGCTGCCTCTCCCCGACCGCTTTTTGTTACACACCCCTCCGTCCATTTGTCCTCCAGCTACTCTGAGCACCCCGCATCACCAGACGAGGCCCGTGTTTTCACACTGCCACCGATCTTTCGAAGACCGGTCGGCCACGTACCCTGTTTTTGATCGCTGGTACTGTCGTTGGTGTCACCGGCCTGGAGTGACCAGACCATTTGCCAACATCGTCGGCCACCGACTGTATCTGATAGTCTGCGTCTAGTGCACGGCGCATACGTTACCCCACCGACTCTGATAATTTGCGATTCGTTTCGTGTTTAGGGCTTCTTCTCGCTCACTTCGCACTCAACTCAGCATGCCTTCCGCGCGCGTGCAGAAGCGCGAAAACGGCTGTTAGTTTGCGCGGAACAAATCGTGAAATATCAAAGTTCGTGAGGCCACGCAAACACGCCGGCGCAACAAAACAATTTCTTGATCACAGCCGCCGATTCTTCGAACGTCGCCGCGCACATCGAACGAGGCGGCCATGCTTTGACTTCTGCGCACGCTGGCACTCTTAAGTTTTTCTACGTGCAAGTTTCGTGGACCTCTCAAGCAAGCTACCTACCTTCCCTAGTGTTTTGGTTTTCAAGGTCGCCCTCCCGCCGCATCCTCCCCTCTCTTATTGCACGGAGGAAGGAATCTTTCATTCCTCCAAGCTTTATCGCAAATCCTTGCCCTTCTCTCGCAAGTCTGCTCTCCTCTCTTGATCACAACCCCTTCGCCCATCTCCACCGCTCCGCGACGCGCCCAGAGCTGTTCCACGCATGTGCGCGAATTGCTCGCTTTTGGTGTGCGTGTGTGGTCATGATGGACGACTGGAGGACTAGCACGCTTTATCGTGCCGCTGAGAAAAAAGAAAAAAAAAAAAAACATCGGAAGTGTGACCTCTTGGCTTGAGCGTAATCGGCGTGTTAGGTGCCGCGTTGCGGAAGCGCTTGCTCATAGCTGTTGACCACCTGGCAGCCAACTTGCCGCTTCGGGCGTCCCGGTATTCAGCTGTAGGAGATGGTGAATGTTTCGTGGGTGGCAGCGATGGCTACATGTGCGCGAAACTATTTTCGCGAAGCCGATTTCGTCGATCGTCGGGCCCGATGCCGAGCCTGAAGCTTCCGAACAGGACCACTGCGGCGGCGATTTGTGGCAGCGCGTCGTCAACTCCGACCTAAGAGAGCGGGTGCGACATCTGTTGCGATGATTTAATTACGGCCGATGATGATGACGACACTGCGGAACCGTGCACGGACTGGGGCATTGTGAATGAAGTACGTGACGAGAGCGATTTGTAGGAATCGGATTGCGAGAAAGACGAAGCTTTGGAGCCAGCGCCTTATGCAGCTTATGCCGCGGGCCTCGGCGAACGAGCATCCTGCCGTTTTAAGTGAACTCGAGACTGCCCTTATCGTTTCTACTCTTCGAAACACGTGCATTACGGACTTTTTGGGGCAAAAAAGTTTGTTTTCACTCAAAACTTTTTTTTTTGAAGCTCTGTTTCATTTACTACGAACTTCGGGATACAGCGAACGGATGCCGCGTCACGCTCAGGTTCGTTATAAGCGGGCTCGACTGTATATCTAAAATTGTGGTATAGCCACTCTGTAAGCTACCAGTGCATTGTATTAACTGCAAACCCGCAACTGAGGATGTGAAATACTTGCGAGGGCAGTTTGCAGGTGGGACGTGGAGATGCCGATGTAGCCAGGATATGGGGGGCTTTTTGTCTGGCCAATGCTGGCCAGCTAGACTCGTTGTTTTGCCGCATCATGCATGACGCGTACGAAAGCAGCGATTGTGCGAGCAGGCTCAGCAAGAACTCAAACCAACTAGCAAATTATCATGAACTCAAACCAACTAGCCCAAATCGCCATTCTTCTCAGCAAGAAAGTTGCGCATAGTTGATCAGCTCTGTTTGTTACATAAACCATGCAATAACAACGCATACCACTACCACTCTTATTGGCATTTGGATTGTAAGAGAGCTATTGATTGCTGAGTCCATTCAGTGCATGGCGTGCAGTGTGCAGCCTTGTCTGAATAAAGCTAGGACCATGTCTAAGGGTGGCTCGATCTTTTAGCGTGATAGTGTGGGAGCACAAGCTCAAAGAAAAACCACGTTTCAAAGTTTTAAGGAGATGCTGCTTTTTCACCAAGTTACTCCAGGAAATCAGGTTTAGTGACGAAGTTAGTTTTTTGTTTTGGATTCACAAGGCTGTACCTGCCAAGGAATTAAATTTTTTTCTTAGATTGGGAAACTCATAGAATCAACTTTTGTTAGACCGCGCTTCAACTTCCTATTGAAACTGGGTACTTCGAACAACACAAATTTGAGCTGGTTGGCAAGAAATTAGTGTAAAGAAAGTAAGGTGTGCATGCCTTTGCTCAGTGTGTTGCTGCGGAAGCAGTGCTCGCGCTCTCAATCACTCTCTTTTCATGCTGCACGCACCTAGCAACATTACGTTTCTCAAGGAGCACGCCGCAATTATCCTCCAGCCAAAGGGAGGTCGAGTGTTTCTCAACTGGTTGAGTGTTTTGAGGTTGAGTGCTGTCATCCTTCTCTTCAGCTTGTGTGAGTTGGCATGTAATTATTTTTCATTATAGTATATTTGTTCAAAAATGATAAGTGACAGTCAGAACACAAGTGGTCGTTGGGATTGGAAAGTTATGTGACTAATACCTAATTTAACGTTTGACGTTGAGTGTAGATCCGACTTGTGTTGACTGTTCTAGGAGTTGCTGACTGAGAAAGAAATTAATAAAACAAAACTTTGAACAAAAGCCGCAGGTTATAGTATCTTCAATTGAAAATTGTGCAGCGTTCGGTGAAATTTTCAAGAACTAATTTTTTCTGCAGGGGCTTGCCACATTTGCAGCTGGGGCCACAAAGGTGGCATCAAAGGCATCAGAAAATGTAAGTGTAATCTTTTGGCTGTAACATGCTATGTGTGGGTATTTGTAGCTATTTCGTTTCATTCAAATGAGTTCACATACATTGATTCTACTATTGTTTAATTAGAAGTATAATTGTTCTTTAGAGAGGGAGAGCTTTGGAGACTTCAGAGAGCTCTCTGTTAATGTCAATTATAATGACAACTCACCTTTGTTGCATTGTTAGGCTATGAAAGCACTGTAATTTCAGATAGGTTTCTCTGCAACTATTGCCTTTTTTTATTGCAATATGTTTATGCATACACTGTAGTAAAGTTTAACATTTGCTAGTAGCTCGTGTAATAACATGGGTTCGGGGTTCTAAGGCATCAGCACCTACTACACATTTGACGACTAATAAAGGTGCTACAGCTCTGGAATGTTGACAGTGACATGCTTTTCTTAGATCGGGCATCTGTGTGTGTCTGTTGTTGGCAGTAATTTTTTGTTCACACCCTTACAGTCAGTATAGTTGGTATGAATCCTTCCAATATATTTGCTTACTGTCATGAGTTCGCTGTTTAGACTTTCTTGGGGTGCTTCAGAAAAGGTTTTCGCATCAGGTTCACTCACACACACCGGGGCCTTGTGTTGTAGCAAGGTCTACCATGAATGATTCTCCAGGCTGTCTACCAGCCTCGAAAACCTGAATTATCAGGGAATTCGAACATGTCTGGAAAAGGTCCGGGAAATGTCGGAGAGTTTTTGAAAAACCCGGGTGGTCATAGAAACTTTGATGGCACTCTGTGCATGCAACTGTTACAAGAAAGAATGTCTAGCCCCTATGAAAGCTTACAAAATTGCTTCTTTTTCTAGAGCTATCGTAAACAGGTAATCGAAAGCTTAAAAAACAGTGAATGCTAATGAATTCATGCTTGTTTGACTTGGCCATGACCTGAGCATGAACTGTGGGCATCTGGCCTGGCCAGAATCACTTTGAGAAGAGGCTTGCTAAGCTGGGTCAAGCTGATTGAGTGCCAATGCAACAATAGGTAACCTTAGTTCTGTACTTTATGCAAGTGCCCTGGTTTTTTAAAACCTTCTTTCACTTCTTCGGTTCTCATATCCAGTACACAGGTAGTCATGAAAGCTCTGAGGTGGGCTTGTTGGTTCACTTACCTCATGGCAGAGCAGCCCAATACACGGAACAGCGAACTGCCAAAAAGACAGCACTGTGTCCTGTGTGTTTCAATGTTGCGTATGTTGTGCTAACCTGCCATGGTGGTCTAGTGGCTAAGGCACTTGGCTGCTGACCAGCAGGTCACAGGATCGAATCCCAGCTGCCGTAACTGCATTATTGGAGGCAAGAATTGTTGAGGCCTGTGTGCTTAGATTGAGGCGCACGTCGAAGAACCCAGGTGGTTGAAATTTTTCGGAGCCCTCCACTATGGCGTCTCTCATATCGTGGTTTTGGGACGTTAAACCCCAACAAGTATTATTATTATGTATGTGATGATGCTCTGCCATAGCAACAGATGGTCAGTCTTCCTAGCAGCCTTACCAGACAGAGAACATACTCTGAATCGTCATGGAAAACCTGGAAAAGTGAGGGAGTTTGAAAAAACTGAGTTGGTTAGAATTTCAGAGTGCTGTAACATGGAACACCGTATCCATGGCAATAAAAGTAGCGCACAACTGTGACCCTGCATCCAAACTCTTCACGTGAAGTGTGATATGTCCTCTTTCGTAGATAAAATTGTCAGTAACTTAAAGCTTGCTCTTGTTTACATATGAAACCACATTCCATGATGTGCATTGCTAACTATTTTATGTTGAACCGGCCACATAGGCTGTCAGTCCAAATGTTTTTTGCACATTTTCGCTGCTTACACGAATTAAACCTATTTTGATTTTAAACCCCGTCAATACAGGGTCTCGTCACCCTCCATCGAGACCTCATTGCGCGCATCTTCTTCTAAAAACGCAGGCCGTCAAGATCGGCAGCATAGCAGCCCAGAAGGCAGCCGAGCTCTCTGGGGCTGTCAGCGAAAAGGTCAGTGGTAATAGTGGGGTCATGGCTAGTTGCGGCATCCTTGCCCTCCCTTACCTTTTTTCAATTCCTGCTTCATCTATGGGTGCACCGCATCTGCTTTTATGTGTACTAGAAAGATTGCGTGGACGCTTTTTCTTTTCCCTTTTTTTTTTTCTTTTGAATGATGGGCCACTGTGTTAAGGTTACTCATGTGGTCATTTGTTCAGTTATATCTACACTCAGACCTCATTATAACGAAGTTGCATGTTACAGGAAAGTTTGTTATATCCGAACATTTGTTGTAGAAGTATATTCCCAACGCCATATCAATTGCAAACGCATTCCTCATTTACTTCGTCATGACTGATATTTCGTTATATCTGGATTCGTTATACCTAGGTGTGAGTGTATGTGGAATCCTTGCATGCTTATGGTGACATTAAATTTAAACTGAGTTCTGCAAAGCAGTAAAAATGAGCTGAGTTTAGCATGCATGGCAGCATACTTCATTTTCATGAATGTGCATGTTTGTATATATAAAATATTACCTGATTGTTATCTAGTAAGTTAGTTGCTTTCATTCAGATCGCGCAAAAGTGGCATATTACTGGCCTAGCCTTCTGCCGTGTTTGATGACAGCTAGTTGTGTGGAGTAAAACATGCGAGAGCATGTATTTTATTTGTAAGACTTGCTGCTAGCGATGTGGAAAAATCAACTTGTCGAGGTAGCCTAGATATGTTTGTGCACATTGCCTTTCTTATATTTCGGTTGTCAGCGTGTTGCATGATGTAGTGCTGTATCAGAAGTATGCATTGTTGCCACTTGGAATTCTTAAGAAAATGGGAAACTGGCAGAAACAAAAACACGACTGTCTGTTGCTTTAGCGGCAAAAAAATATATGTATGCACTTGCTGCACTCTTGCTGACTGTCACTGGATTTAGCCCTAATGACGCTATTTTCTTACTGCAGATTTCACATTTTCTTTCAAATCGCTGTAGTATGACGTGTAATTCACTGAGGTAGACGAAACGGACAGGGCATGCACTTCTGTGAAAAGTCAAGCAAATTTGCGAAGCAGTTCAATAGTTTGAGCTATGTGTGCGAGACTTTGTATATAAGAGGGTGAAAATGTTATGTACAAGCGAACACAAACTCAGGCATGGCGTGAAAATGGTGGTATAATTGCAGTACTCACCGGTTGAAACTAAACATAGGGTATTTTAATCTAACGACAGTTGGGACCAATCGCTTGTGATAGTTGTGTCATGTCTGCAAATCCGGCCACTCAACACAATGCTGGCTCTGATGCGAGTGTTTGAGTGAAAATTACGCTGATGTGACGTGAACCTGCACGTGCTGAAAGTGAAAGCACATGCATTAGTTTAACCCAAGTTTTCGTTTTTCAGTCATTGAGTACCGTACATGCCAGATTAGCTATTCACTATCAGTAGCAGTGCGCCATCAGCTACACTAGCATTTATGTGATGTGCTGAAGAGTCGTTAAGGATGTCCTGTGATGCCACATGCTGTCATAGCAGGCCGTGCTGTCACAGCTATCTTAGATATCTTTAATCAATAAGCTGCATGTACTGGGCACAGTTGGCATCGGCTGCATCATTTGTACGTAGTTATTGATGAATTTGTGTCAGCCATTCACTGGAAACATTGGAGTGATGTTTATGATTGATATCATTGCACCCGTCTTTTTGCTTCTTTGCCTGCTTAGAACAGTATCGACTAGGCTGTCTGGTTATTTTTGTTATAATTTTGTTAGTGGTACCGTGCAGCAATGTATTGGTAGCATAGTTTTTGAGTTGTCATCCTCCTGGACTCCCTGTTCTGTTCTTCTTTTTTCTCTCCCTTTTTTTTTTCTCCCTTATGTTTGGAACAACCCTGCCCCTTCCTGCAAATGGATGTGCATGCGGTGTGTTGATGTGCACGCATGTGCACATGCCAGGTGAAAGACGGCACGCTCATCAACGATCTGCAGAGCCAGGTCACCACCATTAGCACCAAGGTGGGTTGGAACGCACAGTGCGCCATGTACATGCGCGGGCACATCTGTTACGTCGCACGGCACTGGTGTTATCTCTTTGTCCTCCTCATGTTTGTAATTGTGAATGTGTTTTTCGGCACCTGGGGTAGTACTTGCGTTCTGCTGAGCACATCTTGTTCTGTCACGCTCTTGTTGGAACAGTCCCAGAAGTACTCTGATACATTTTCTCATTTCCACTCTCATCGACACTGGTAACAGTAGCCCACCGTATTTACACAACTGTAAGCTGACTTGATCGTAGGTCATACCACGGGCATTGGTAAAGCTAAAGGAGCACTTGCCCCCCTCAAGCCACATCAGCCAGACCTGACTGAGGTTTTATTGGAGTTCCGGAACACAAAGCTAGCTATAGAGCACGGTGCACATGCACTTTTGGTGTGCCATTGAGTGGGAACGTGGGAAGTGGCATTGAGAAAAGGAGAGGGGTGGGAGCAAAGCTTAATTGCCGTCCACTTGCTGAACGTGGCCATCAATAAAGAAACTTGAATGAAAGAAACTGTGACTGAAAGCGACAAGAAGCTATTTCATCAACTACCGGCCACCCTACAGAAATCACCGCTGCTCTTAGTGTTTGCCTTGAGAAGTACTGTGCTGACTGGGGTAGCAGCTCTACTTTCGATGATCATCCATTAAAAAATAATGTGCAGGGCTCTAAGGAAGCTGTGGGAATGACAGTTGTTGAGCTCTTCTAATCGGCAACTACTCTTCTGACTGCGGACACTAGCTTGGTGAAAGATGAAAAAAGGAAATAAACTTTCTTTAAAAAAGAAATAAACTTTCTTTAATTTTTTCAGATAACGAGTGAAATGATTATATGCTGTAAGCTGAGCTTGAAAGCAAACACAACGTTGCAACCCTCAATAACATTGTTCCTGAATAACATTGCTGCAGATAGCATTCGATTTGATTGTAGGCCACCCCCTCCCTCCCTCCCTCCAGCTTTTACTTCGGATTTCAAATTTACATGAAATAGGTTGACTTATACTAATCGATTAAATGGAATTGATGGGCACTCAGGATTACTACTCTGTACCTAGAAAACAACTGCAGAATGAGTGCATTGAGTGCTCGTACACAGAAACGTACAAAAGGCATTCCAACTAGCTGTTACACTCTGCACCATTTCTAAACGAATGAAGCTTTTCTCCCACAACATCCAAGGTTTTTCTTTTTCTTTTTTTTTTCTGTGCTTTGTACGCGTGCATAGGTGGTGGACGTGAGTCGACGCGGAGTGCAGGACCTCTCAACGCTGTTCGCCCAGAAGGCCACCACGCTGGAAACTGCCGAGGGCGCCCCCAACGAAAAATCTTCGCTCCTCTTTGCCACATCCGCGCCCCCGTCACGAGACAGGTCTGTGCCACTATCACCTCCTCTCTTTGTGCAAGTCCGTAATCTGTTTGTTCTTCCTTAGCGCAAGCTTCCTGAACAAGGCGTGAATAAATTGGGCACACACATTGCTATTGGGCACACACGTTTGCATGATCTGGGCATTCATTATCAAGCCAGGTTGGGGAGGTCTGCGTAGCCTGATCAGTTTGTATTCCTTTGCATCAATAGTTAAAGCGGGCTGTATGTAAATGCGTGAAATTTACCCAATTCGATGTCAAGGTTCTGGAGGTTCAATTCAATGTTAGTGGATAGTTTAGAATGAATTATATTGTATTTTGTAGCAAATAATAATTATATGACTATCAGTCATGTTATATCTTATGGTTAAAATGAATTCATCGAGCCACTGAAATTGCATGCGTGGTTATCTGCTGGTGGGTACGATTTCTAAAAAGCTAAAAAGACACATCTAAATTGCAAAATGCCTCTTATACAATGTTTCATTATGGGGGGGACGAGGCTTTCAAAAACCGAAAAATCGTAATAAAGTCGATTTTTGTAAATCCATATATTTCGTTAGTATGTGTCATAAATTACCTCTGGTGTAAATATCAGTGCCTAATTCACCCTATAAGTGCTTAAAAAAATAATTTGCCAGCCGCAGGCGCTGCCAAACTGCGAGAAATCGCCGAAGATGTCCAACTTCGCGCGCGCGCCACTTCTTCGCCTGTTACCCGAGCGTCGCCATCTTGGTTATGTTTTGCTCGTAAATTCTTGCTATTTTTTTCCGCCGTCAGTTACTAGACCTGGCGGCATGGTCAAGGCATAACTCGCTTGTAATTGGAGAGCTTACGGGGTGTTCAAAAGCCCCGCTTCTCAAATGCGGCGTTGATTGGATGGAACGTGCACTCCTCAAGGACGAGGGGAAGCAAGTGGCTGCTATTGGCTGCTGCGGGCGCGCACATGTTCGGCTTGCAACCATGTCGCCAGCTACCGCGCGGCTCCTTGTCTGCTTCGACTTCTTCGTTGCAAACGTTCTTCATGTGCTTCTTCGTCTCACGTGCTTTTTTTTTTTATGATCACTCGTGACACTGTTGTTAACTGTCTTAACGAGACGATAAATGTTTGACGTGGCCTGCCGATCGTTGCGCGATTGACGAGTTCTGTCGAACATGGGCCTGACATGGCTCTTTGTGTCGAGCAGGCCTTTCAGAGAAATTGTGCGCCTTCTGTTGCAATGGATTGCACCTTCGAGAAAGAATGCAAGACTCGACTCGCTTACGGAAAGAGAAAGCGCCGTACACCTAAGCCTCGGCGATCGCGGATACTCCCTCCAAGTCGTTCGTCAATCGGCGAGAGTGATGCTACTTTGGATTCTCAGTCGTCAAGCGATGCGGTGAACAACACAGAAAAAATGCTGCGCCAGTGCGTGTAAAGCTCGGAAGACGACGACGTTGATGCTACCGTACATCGTGTGGCTGCACACTCTCCTAACGAGGATCGCGCTGTTCAACGTGACGGAAACAGGTTACAGGGAAATGATTGACACGTTTGCAGATGCTGGCAATCCGCGGGGTGATGCCGCGATTGTGCCCAGCGAGCGCCGTACTATTCAGGGACACATTCAACCCAGTTTTGTGTCAGCGGAAACTGCAGAAGCTCAGTCGACCAGCATTCGCAAGTCGCTCAGCGCGATGTCCGCTACTGAGCGAAAGTTCGCACTGACCGCGCCGCCGAAACGCGCAACTACACTGACGCCACAGGAAGAAGAAGAATACGTGATGACGCAGATGGGCGTCTTAAATGCGATTATTGGGAATACCCTCTGCCCTGTTTGTCATGAGCATGAGCAAAGTTTGGTTGTGGATCGGGACATAAGGCATGACCTTGCCGTGAAAATGGTGGTCACATGTCGCTCTTGTGGCTCAGCCAACACCCATTGGACTCCGCCAAGGAAACCAGGTGGTCGAGTTTTCTATGTGAATGTACGGTTTATTCAAGCAATAAGGTGCATCGGTAAAGGGCTTACTACTCTAAATGACTTCTGAGCAGTAATGAATGTCTCTCACAAAGGGCTGCACCAGAAGACCTATCATCGCCACTTGAAACAGGTGCTGAAACCAGCTGCTGAAGAAGCTGCAGAAACAGTTTTCACAGATGCTGTACAGGCTGTGAAGAAGTTTTATCAGGAAACGGAAGTACACTCCACTAAAAACATTACTGTGGTCTATGACGGCACATGGCTGACGCGCAGACACAACTCGCACATTCGTGTAAGCTGTGTGATAGAATTTTATACTGGACTTGCACTTGACTGTACAGTCCCGTCCAACTTCTGCCTCGAGTGCTCACTAGGTCCAGCTAAAAACCACCCTGCACATCAAGAGTGGAGGAAGACGCATGTTTGTCAAAAAAACGCAGATGTGGCTGCGGGACGCATAAAGGTGGAAGCTGCACTGCAGCTTTTGGACGCTCCCTCGCAGATTTGGGTGCACGTTAAAGAACCCCAGGTGGTCAAAATTTCCGGAGCCCTCCACTACGGCGTCTCTCATAATCATATAGTGGTTTTGGGACGTTAAACCCCACATATCAATCAATCAAATCAATTTGGACGCTCCCTCAGTAAAAATGATCCATGTTACACGAAAATCATTTGTGACGGTGACAGTCGCACCTATGTGGCCCTGTGCAATGAGGAGATGTATGGGTTTGTACCTCACACGAAAGAGGACTGCGTGAACCATGTTCAGAAGAGGATGGGCACGGCACTCCGTTTTCTTGTAAGCAAGTCTAAGAAGAGAGACGCGCTGTTGCGTAGCCACCTCCGAAATCCCACCGCTGACCTCCACTGTTGCGAACGACGGACCGATCCCGCCGAAGCCACCACTGTTGCGAAAGACGGCGGCGCCAACACGGTCCTGTAGGGCGCCACTGCTTTCAACTCCGCCGGGAAGGTCACCAGCCGTTTGGTAGCGTATGTTTATCAGCTCGCGACTGCTTCTGCGCGGAGCTGATAAGACGAGCGGACGAGACGACGGTGAGTTAAACAAGGTTTATGTACAGCATATTTACAGAGGCGTTACAATTTCGGCACTGGGGCCGACAGAGACTCGAAGAGCCGAACTCTCCTCTCTAACACATAGGTCAGCCTTTCGCCTAAGACCGCTGACTCACACACATGTCGGCACTCCGACACGGGGACGCCTCTCACATAGGACCGCCGATCGCGACGCGCCGCAGGGCTTCTTTTATTCACACCGGGTCCAACCAAAAGGTCCAATCAGAAGAAGCGCCGCTGGTCGTCCGGGCAGATTCCGCCAATGGGGGTCGCCGCGCCATGCGTCAGACCACCAGGCACGAGAACGCCGGCTCGCTGTCACGTGCGCCGATGACTCAATGCACGTGGGCGAGAGAGGCGCCGCGCGTGTTCACGCCGTTGAGATGTTCGCGTCGGGCAGACGGCGGGCTGGCCTTGACCCAGATTGCCTTTTTCAGAGGCACGGTCGTTTGACGAGGACTCGCTGGCATAACAGCACCCCCGCCGCCAGACAATGCACCGTAAAGACGAGCTGCTTCCACGGGGCTCGGATGTCAGGTGCGCTCGTTCGCCTGGTCCCTCCAGGTTCGCCTCCAGGGCCATGGGGAGAATACAGCTCCAGACTGGTCCGGGAACACATCCCATTTTTGACGACGGATCCCAGCTCCACTGGCTTGTCGCCACAACGTGCTGACCAGCTTCACTCGTCTCTTCTGACCATCTTCGGGTTCAGCACTTGTCGATGGTTCTGCAACTTGCTAAGAACGGTTCGACAACAGACAACACACGACACAAGCAAGTGCCCTCGGTCACCCGACAGAACACCAGACAAAGTATAGTACAACATATACCTATCTACGTGTCTATCGGAATTTTGTTCCCTCTACATCAAGAGGCCCATGTGGGACAAAAGACCCCTAAAATGACAACTCAATTTTTTTTTTCACGTACAACAACGTAACGGATTAGAATACCACAAATTTGGCCCCTTTAGATCACTCTGAACGAGAGCGCTCAGCCCAGGTCGTGATGAGGTCAAAATTTTGCCCCGAATCGCCAGCCAGAAACCGAAAGGTTGAGAAGGTACTAACTAAACGCACTGCTCAATGCACCTGCATTAACGTTTACCTTTCTCTTTTTTTTTTTCTCTTTAGCGAACGTCAAAGTTGCGCTGTGGAGCAACATGCTCCACCTCAGTAACCGGCCACTTTTAGGCGACGATACCTATGCGGCACCAAGAGCGGCTCACACTTGCGACGTTGCACAGGGGAACAACGATACGGCTTGCCACTGATTGACTCCTCACCGCTTAGCTCGATATCGTGTTCGATCACCCTCATGTTTCCGGGGCGGTCCGAAAACACGTCTTCAAACTCGGGACCAATCTTTCTCAGGTCCTCTTTCTCAGGTCCTCCTTCACTTAAGCTAGGCTCTAGGTTTATCTGCTCCCAAATTACTTTCGATCCCCCTTCGATCATCTCACTAGAACTCAAATTTTCTGCTCCCTCTTCCTCTGAAGCCTTCAACAGCTGATTTACGACCGCTTGATGTTGAGCATTGGGTTTCATCAAGTTGTAAATTTTGTTCTGCCGCCTTCCTACTTGCACCTCATAAGTTGTATCGCAAGGCTTCGATAATACTGTGGCGGGCCCTTCCCAATCAACCTCAAGCTTGTTCCTTTTGGGTGGCTGCAGCCGCATTACCTGATTATCAACTTCAAAAGCGCGCTTCTTCCCCGATTTCTCGTAGTGCTCCTTCGACAGCACTTTTGCCGCGTTTTTCTGGCTTTCCACGAGCGCTTCAATTTGGCTTTCCACTAGCGCTTCAATCGAGAGATCCTCACTCTGCCCTCGAATGAGCGTCTCTCGATCAACTCTCGGCAGCTCGCTCCAACTTTCCGCTACAGGCGAGAGCGTTGCAACCCTCTCGCTCTGACTCAATGGCGCCATGTCGTCTCTCCTTTCTCCGGAAACCGCGCAGCTAG